GAGATGTATTGACTTAGACTTAACGTCGTTAGTGAAAGAAGCTTTCAGAACATGTGCCATGAAGCGTTAACTTGGTTGTATGAAAGGACGTATGTCGTAGGACCCATATTTAGACGTGAACAAGAGGGAAGAAAGCATAGGCAAGGGTGATTGTCCTTTAGGTGGCACATTTAAAGGTCCCTAGCATGGCCAGGAGTGATCCCTGAGCACAGAGCCAGGGATAAGTTCTGAAATTTTGAAGTGGGGGTTTAGAGAAGAAAATACAAAAGTTCAGAGACCTATGTAGCAGACTGCCGTAGGCCACAAATCTAGTTTATTGTTTGTGGTTTCAAGTGTCTTATTTTCCCCAATGAATCTTCTGGTTTGAATTCTTTTTTGGGAGTTGGGGAAGAGGATTTGGGTCTTATACCTTGGTGCTTAGGGCTTATTCTTAACTCTGTACTCAGGGATCACTCTTGGGTGCTTGTGAGACCATCTGGGTGCTGGTCAGCTGTGAGCAAGATAACTGCCCTACCTGCTGCACAGTCTCACCAACTTCCCTGATTTGAATTCCTTTGAAGTTAATAGCATTTAATTGAGAATAGAAAAGCTAGTTTTTTTTTTATATCACAGTGCGTGATATTCATTTTAATAGACTGGCTATTATAATGATGCAGTATTTTTCTAAGAGATAAACACTGTACAAAAACGAACATTTTTATTAAAAAAGGTCTCTTTGAAATGTTATGTAATCTATTGAGAAGCAATTGTGCTGTATTGCTTCTAGTTGAAAAACTTCTAATTTTGTTTAAAGAAATTTATTTTTAAATTTTTCCCTAAATTTTATTTTATTTTTATAAAGTTGTTCACAATACTTCATTACATTTAACATTCAGACACCAATCCCACCACACTGCAGTTTCCCACCACCATATTCTGAATGTTTCCACCCCAAATCCCAAATTGTGCCCCTCAAAGCAGAATAGAACAATTCATTTTGTATGAATAATCTGCTAAAAATGGTCCAATAAAGTTTCGTTAGAGGATAGTGTGTGAAGATTGTTGTATTTCATCCTGGAGCCATTAAACCCTTTATAAGAGGTTTAAGAACATGTTTATTAAAGGCAATTAAATGTTGTGTGCTACTCTTGGTACATCAGTGGTGTAGAGTATGAGAGATTGCTCCAGGAATTCTAAAATTTAGAATAAAATTATACCACAGATTCACTCGTGGATGAGGCCTATGTTGCTCTCTTCTGGGAGCTTTCTGAACCTCTGGATCTTGGCCATTGAGGAGATTGTGTGGTGTGGGGCAGTTTGTGGGTGTGACTGCCAAGCTACTGCTAAACTTGGGAGATGGAGGGAAGAGGCCCATTCCCACTCCTAGCGAGCTTGGAGATCTCAGTCACGGGTTCCACATACCTGGGTTTCTCTGAAGATTCCCTTGTGGCTGAGTCTGAGCCTGTGGAGAGTGACTGTGATCATGGCTATGGTTGTGTTCTGGAGGTTTTCTGTTGGGGCGGGGAGGGAAACTCAACCCATCTCCTTCTGAGTGGCCCTGTTGAAGACAGTATGGTGCAGGGTCTGGATGTTCTATGTTGCTCTTTCAAGAAATTTATTTTATAGGAAAAGAGTCACTCAGAAGCCCAAGATACAGACTATGTAATTCAGAGATTTTTCTGTGCTAGTTTACAGTCAGTCAGGTTATAAACATTTTATTTGCAAGTATTTATTGTTTTTTGTGTATAAATTTTTTTGTTATATGAAATTGTAATTGTGTATAAAATTGAATTTGATTTTCTCTACAAACCTGAACCCTTTGATCTCACTAAATTTATTTTTAGTTTTGATTTTTAAATTCTTAAAATTTTAATTATTCTTATTCTTAATGATGGTTTTATGCTACATCATTCCAATAGATTTTTTTAGTATCTTGTACAGTCATTGGATTTCCCATGTAGACTTTAACTCCAGTAGCAAATTAAGAACGTTTAACTTCCTTTTTTTTGTGATTTTATGCCTATTTTGTGTCCTCATTATGTTGTATATGTTACAATAGTGAACTCATATTTGAACTACAGCAATTATAATATTCTCATTGTGACAAGATCCTTTCATAGGTGGCATATAAATCATATAAACATAGTATTGGAGATTCTTAAAAATTCTTTTTATAAACAAAAATTAAAAAAATACACAGTAGGCAACCATGGTTTATAAAACCTTTACAGGTTTCATGCATGAAGCATTTCAGCTCTGCACCCCCGACCAGTGCCCACTTCTCTCCTTCACTGCACCCTGTCCTTTCCCCTCCCCCACTCCCTGAAAACTGAAGACCAATTCTCAGTAGGTTGCTTTGAGGCATTTGTTATCTCATCTATGAGAAAAGCTCACTTTATGTCTGTTTCTCTCCGGGCCAACTGTACTCAGCGTAATGCTCTCCAGTTCCATCTACATTGCATGGTTTCATTTCTTCTCAAAGCCTGGTGGTATTGTCCTGTGTATATGTACCATAGTTTCTTACATTTTTAAAAAAGTAAAAACAGGTTTTATTTGGAAGTTCTGAGGGAGGAGTTGGGATGGGGGTGGGGAGAGTGAGACAAAGAGAAAAAGAACATGGGCTTCTCTAGAGCAGAGAGAGTGCCCCAGTACACATCCCAGCGCTTAAGTATGAAGTTATGAAAGTCCACATCTCCAGAGGGGAGAGACACACCACATGCATGTGTCAGCAACACATGTGCTCTGGCAGCATATGTGCAGCACCATAGTTTCTTTATCCAGTCACCTGTTCTTGGGCACTTGGGTTGTTTCCAGATTTAAGCTACTGTGAATAGTGCTGAAATGAAGATATGAGTGCCAGTGTCTTTTCTGAATAGTGTTTAAGGGCTCTTGGGGAAGCTGCCAAGAAGTGGGATTGCTGGATTATATTTAGCTCATATCCTACATGTTTGAGAAGTCCATATTGTTTTCCAAAAAAGGCTGGACTGGTCAATTCTCACCAGCCGTGAATGAGGATCCATTTTCTCTACATCCATACCAGCACTGGTTGTTTCTGTTTTCTGTGATGTGTGCCAATCTAACTGGTGTGAGGTGATACCTCATTTTTCTGATTTTTCATTTCTGATGGTAAGTGATGAATATTTTTCCCCATATATCTTTGGCCATCTGTATACCTTCTTTGAGCAGTCTGTTCATCTTTACCCCTAGTTTTTTGATGGGGTTGTTGCTTTTTTTCTTGTAGAGTTCTTCTAGTGCTTTATAGATCTTGGGTATTACCCCTTTACTGGTTGAATGATAAAGAAATACTCTCACCCGGTCTGCAGGGTGACTTTATTTTTGTCATCGTGTCTTTTATGGTGCAGAAGTTTTTTAGTTTGATATAGTCCCATTTGTTTATCTTTGTTTCATTTTTCTTGACCAGTGGAACTGAATCATTGAAGATACCCCTAGCTTCAGGGTCATGAAGTGTTCTACCTTTGTTATCCTTATTGTAATTTATGGATTTAGGTCTGATATTCAGACTTCTAATCCATTTTTATTTGACTCGTGCATGGTGTTCAAATAGAGTCTGATTTTTATTTTTGAATGTGACCAATCAGTTTTCCAGGTATCATTTGAGAAAAGGCTTTTCTTGCTCTACTTTATTATTTATTGCTCCTTTATCTGATTAACTCTTCCTGTACATGGAGTTCTGTCTCTGGACTCTCAATTGTATTCAATTGGTCTGACTGTCTGTCCTTATTCTAGTACCACACTGCTATAATTCCTGTGGCTTTATTGTATGGTTTGAAGTTGTGGAGAGAAGAGCCACTAATCTTTTTCCCCCCTAGTATTGCTTTGGATATTTGTGGAGCTTTATTATTCCATATAAATTTTAACACGGTCTATGTCTTTTTGTTGTGTGTATATATATTTTTTGGCTTTTTGGGTCACACCTGGCGATGCACAAGGGTTACTCCTGGCTCTACACTCAGGAATTACTCCTGCCGGTGCTCAGGGGACCCTATGGGATGCTGGGAATCGAACCCGGGTCGCCGCGTGCAAGGCAAACGCCCTATTGGCTGTGATATTGCTCCAGCCAACATGGTCTATGTTCTTAAGAAATATTATGGATGTTTTTGTAGGGGCTGTATTGAATCTGTTATAATACTCTGGGGCAAGATGGTTATTGGGCAATACTAATCCTTCCAATCCATGAAGAGGGACTGTGTTTTAATTTCCTTGTGTCCTTTTTTACATCTTTTAGCTAAGGAAACTGAGAGAATGTGAGAGATGATTTTGGGTAGACAAGCAAGTATCTGCAACGGGACAGTATTCATGAATGTTTATAGTAGCAGTCTGTTTAAAATTTAGTGCTATTCAGATGTGGCATAGGATGCAAGGACAAATAGGTTCGAATTGAACTCTGACACCTCCAAGTTGTAAGCTTGGACAAATGACTGATTCTAAGTTTATTTTTTTTAAAACAGTGAAATGGAAATGATGTACTTGCCATACTGTTATGGTTAGAAATATAAATGATGCACCTGACACATATCAGACGGGTCTACATATTACGTTGTTCTGTTATTAATGAATTGAAAGATCTTTAAAAGATGTTGTTCTCTTGGGAACGCTGTCTTGGAAGAATCCTGTCCTGCTAATAGGAAGTGAAACTCATATTCCCAGAGGGGTGGACTCCTGAGTGAGGATGACAGTGATAGCAGGTGCCCGCTTTCTCCTGTCCCTTTTACTCCTTCATCCTCCTTTGGAGGGTCAGACAAATGCATTTATTTCCAAAGGCTGTTCAGCATCTCACCTGATGGTGAGAGTGTGTTTGTGTGTGTTGGCTGGTGTGTGTGTGGGGGTATCGGGAGCTCAGGTTGAGCTAGGAAGATGCCTCTGTTTGTGGTGCTGTAGGTGGGTGGTGTCTTGTTCACCGAGGGATCTTTTGCAGGACATCATGTCCATTCTCTGCTTTTTGTCTCTCTCCCTTTTCCTCGTTGACTTGGCTAATGTTGTCACCTGTCTCTTTCTTCTAGAATTCTGAAGGTGGACTCTATGTATGCATGAATACCTTTTTGGCCTTTGGAAGGGAACACGTGGAAAGACATTTTCGAAAAACTGGACAGAGTGTGTACATGTACCTGAAGAGACACGTGCGGGAGGTGAGGTGCACTATTGGAAAACTGCCAGCAAGATCTTTCCCGTAACATCGAATTAAAACAAATTTAAAAACATAGACATAGTTGTTTATAATAGGATTTCAGGCATGCACTCTTCCCATCTCTTATCCCTCCACCCATGAGGTGACATTGTCTTAGTGTGATGTGTCACATGGAGATTTTACTGTGCCCATAGGCTTCTGGTTTTCTTTGAGAATGAGAAACAAAATATCATCCTTGGGAGAATTTCATGGAGTTCCTTAAATCTTATCCTATTATTACGTATTTATTTTTGTATTTGGGGGTGAAACCCAGGGCTCAAATATGCAATTACTCCACTACTGAGCCATCCCTGTTCCTATTTTTTCGTATTTTCCACTGTGGCGCAGGAGGGACTGTGGTTTGGGGTCACTCCCAGGGGTCCAGGCTAGTTGGTTGGTTAGTTGTGTGGTCCAGTGGAGCAGGAGATGTGGGGTACACGCAAGGCTTGTTTTCAACCATTTGTTGAATTAAAAAAACTCAAATATAAGACATTCAGATATTTTTATTCAGACTTTGTATATACTTAATTAGGCACTGTGAATTTACAAAGCCTTAAAAACAGTTTATTAAAAGGTATTCAATGTTCCAACTTCAGATTCTTTTACTTTCAGAGGAAGTTTTCCTAAAAGTTCAAGTTCCTTTGTCCTTCTTTTCCCCAAAAGTAACTGTTGGGAATTGTTCCTCATTGATATGTCATTATTATATAATATATACTTTGTTAACATATATTATATATAATATTTGGAAAAGCGTTTATTTGCATACATTTTGGGAGGAGAGCCACGCGCAGCTATGGCTCTGTTCTTCCTCCTGGCGGGGCTCAGAGGACCAAATGGGGTGCCAGGAATTGATCTTGGGTTGGCTGCATGGAAGGCAAACACCCTACCCATGGTATTAACTCTCCAGTTCCTATATATTTCTTAGCGTGGTATTCATGAACAATGCAAAGCTTGTTTGTGTGTGTTCAGAATGTAGCTAAATATTGTAATACTGGCATCTATATCCCCAGAGTTTTATTTCCTCAAATTGGTTTTGAAATCTATCCATGTTTCCATTTATCTGAAATTAATTAATTTTAATAGTGTTTTGATAATACTTGTTAAGTGTACTTAGTCATTTATTATTTTATCTTCCTCCTAATGAACATTTAGATTGTTTCTTTTTTTTCTTTCTTTTGCTTCTGCAAACAATGCAGCAATAACCATTGTTCTCCATTTCTCCTGAAGGTATATGTGCATGATTTCTTTAGGAAGTAGATGTATTTAGAAGTAGTAATGCTGGTTCATGGGTGTACTTCCCTCCATTTTTACTAAATATTGTCAACTTTACGTTCCCGTTTGCGGAGGTTTCAAATGTCTTGTTTCACCACGTCGTCACTGGTGTTTGGTCAGCCTTCTGATTGTGATGTGGCACTTACATATTTGGCATTTCCTTCTATGAGAAATGAACCTTGTTTCCTAAGTTTATCTTCATTATTTCTGGTCATTCTGATTTTCTCCTCTCTGATTTACCTATTTATGGTTTCAGCCTGTTTTCTGTGGGAGTACCTTCTGAAAAGTGTAATGAGTTCTTTTTGCATTCTGGATTCCAAATATTTGTCTGTTTTATGCAGTTACAGTTTATGGCTTGTCTTTTTGTATTTTAACCTAATGTACTGAAATTATTTTGTAGAACAAATTTTGTTGTTGTTGTTGTTGTTTATTTTTGGGTCAAATCCAGCAGTGCTCAGGCCTTACTCCTGGTTCTGTGCTCAGGGATCTCTCCTGGTGGGTAACTTGGGGGACCCTCTGGGGTGCTAGGGATCAAACCCAGGTCTACCATGTGCAAGGCAAGTGCCTTTCCCACTGTACTATCTCACTGGCCCTACTAAATTTATTTTGAAGGATTGATTTTTTGGGGGAGTTGGGTGTGAGCCAGCTTCCAGCTTCCAGAGTTTGGTGCCAGGGCCTGTGATTTACCACTGAGATACATCCCCAGTGTCAGGCATTATTTACTTATTTCATTTCTTATCTTAATATTTTGTTACTTGGGAGCCTATTCAGAGGTACTCTGGGAAACTCCTAGCTCTGTGCTCAAGGGTCACTCCTGGTGGTGTTCAGGAAACCATATGTGGTGTCGGGGATTGAAACTGGCTAGCAAGCATGCAAGACAAGCTCCTTACCTCCTGTTATATCTCTCTAGTCCCTGAATTTATAGAGGAACCCACAGTTCACATCCCTGTAAGCTCTAGGAAGACAGTGACTTTTGTTTTGTTCACCGCTGTGCCATCGTCACTTTAGTGTGGTGCACATAGTAGGTGCTTCATAATATTTAGTGAGTGACTGTTCAAAAGGACAGTGCCAGAGTGATAGTACAGTGAGGAGGGCTCTTCTCTTACTCATGGCTGACACAGGTTTGATCTTCAGCACTCGATACGGTTCCTTGATGAGCCCTTCCAGGAATCATCCCTGAGTGCAGAGCCAGGAGTAAGCCCTGAGAACTGCGGGTTGTGTCCCCATCTCCCTCCAAAAGAAAACAACAACAACAACAACAAGAACCCCAAATGACACATCTCCCTAGTGATTTGTATCACTTTTATGCCCTTCAGTGATATTTTGTTAGTAATGGAGCTTACATTTTGCAACACATTCATAAGACACTCCCTACCCGTTTTCCATTTTCCATAATTACCACACCATATTTGATGAGATTCAGACAGTAGGCAACAAATCATAAAGGAAAAGAGAATATATATCTATATCTATATCTATATATCCATATATATATATATATATATATATATATATATCTTGTAGAGCCCGGCAAGCTACCGAGAATATCCCAACCACACAGCAAAGCCTGGCAAGCTATTTGTGGCATATTTGATATGCCAAAAACAGTAACAATAATGGGACGGGTCTCATTCCCCTGACTCTGAAAGAGCCTCATTTCCCAATACCATTGGGAAAGATAAGTAAGGAGAGGCTGCTAGCATCTCAAGGCTGGGACAATGGAGATGTTACTGGCTCCTGCTCAAGTAAATCGATGAACAACGGGATGACAGTGATGATGATGATGATGATGATGATGATGATGATGATGATGACGACGACGACATTTTGCTAGCTATTTTATATTTATTTAACCATACCTGGTAATGCTCAGGAGTGGTTCCTGGCAAGTTTGGGGGACTACATGCTGTACTGGGGATTGAACCTGGGTCAGCTGCGTGCAAGACGTGCTCCCTACCTCTGCGCTGCTCTGGCCCCTTTTATCTATTTTCAGACATCCTATCTTTTTTGCATGTGTGTGCGTGTGTGCATGTGCGTGTGTGCGTGCATGTGTGCATGTGTGTGTACATGTACATGTGAGTGTGTGTACATGTGCATGTACATATGCATGTGTGTGTGTGTGTGTGTGTGTGTGAGCGCGTGCACGCTGCCAGAAATTGAATCTAGGGCCATGCACCTGTGAGTCAGACACTGCTACTGAGCCACATCCCCCTGGTTTTCAGTTTTGATGGTGCTTGGGGACCTTTTTCCTTTCCAAACAGTGACTGTGTATTTAGCAGCACTGTTCAACTTTCATTTCTCTTCTGATAGTTGGTAGACTTTCTTGGACCTTCTCATTCGTCCATACTGATTTGACTTTCTTCTAATCTCTCACGGTAGCCCAGAAACTTCTTCCCACTTGCAAACCATTTTGGCCAAGAGACTTTCATGGGGCTCTGAGAATAGAGGTTTATAGAATAGGCATACAGACAAAATATAAAAGAAATCATACATTTATTAAAGCAATTTTTAAAAGTTCTGTGACACTATGTCACTGCTCACAGTTTACAGTTAGGTTCTGGCCTCCCAACAACAGTGTGTGGTCTGCTACATTTTGCCAAAGCAGGAACCCCAGGTTGGACAGCAGAGGAGCAGGAGGTGAGGCGGAAGGAAGACCAGAATCAGATACGTCATGAGCCTAGTGGTCAGTTCAATAGTACAATGCTGACCTCCTAACAGTGTTTGCGTTTATTGCCCTGTCCCCTTGTCTAAACCCTCCCACCCCTGTGGGGTGGCTCACGGGGCTCTGTGAAGTATCCTTTGCCCCATTTGTCTTCAAGTGCTGGACATTTAGGGGAGCAAGGCACAGAGACCTGTGTGGGTCCAAAAGCCAGCGGTGGGTTGGTGGGATGCGTTTCATCTTGTGTGGTTAACTCGGAGACCTCTGGAAGCGTCATCTCGCTTTTTCCCTGTCCACAGTCGGCTCTCAGTTGAACTCTCTTCCTCAAGTGACCCCTGTTTCCATCTGTTGTCTCTGGAAGCCTGTATGGGATGACGGACCAAGTAGCCCCTTCCAGCCTGTGTAGCCTCTCAGCATTTGTTTTCTTATCATCAATCAAATCAGCTGATCCTGAGCCCCTCCCAGGCCCCTCCAGAGGCCCAGCCAGTCCATCCATTAGCATCATTCTAGTCTTCTGCCTCCCAAGGGTTCCCTAAACCTTGTCTAAACCCTCCCTGGCTCCCAGACTGGGGTGCTCTCTTCAGGCTTTTCCCAGAACCTCCCCTCATCCTTCCTCAAAACAGTGGAATTCAGACTTCACAGAGAAAATAGGGGGATTTTTCTTTTACTGAGAAAACAGAAGTTTACAGAGAAAACAGTGGCTGTTCTTTTTGGGGACCCAGTCTGGGTGGCTGCATGCAAGACAGGTGCCCTATCTACTGTACTATGTCTCTGGCCCCTGACAGCGTCTTTAAAAGTGTTTCTGTACCTTTAATTGATTAATTTTTTATAATTAATTAATTAACAAAATTAACCAGCTCACACCTGGTGATGCTCAGGGATGACTCCAGGCTCTGCACTCAGGAATTACTATGGTAGTACTTCTGTGGACCCTATGGGATGCTGAACATCGAAATCTGGGTGCATAGAGGTACTTCCTTGCCATACTTTCTTCCCAGCCCCTGCTTTTCTGCCCTTACGATCATCATGCCTCCTCTTTCTTTCACACTGAAGCCACTTCATCATCAGTCAGCTGAAATGACCACTCAGCAGCCACATGAGGTGGTGATGTTTTAGCCTCAGTTTTACCTGGCTTTACCTCGACCATTTTTTTTTTCAAATGTGAGAATACTGCTATTTATTCAGCCATTGATTAAGCTGATTGAATTGGGCATGAACTCCACATTACTTTTTTTTATTCAGAATGTTAATTTTATTTTATTATTATTATGTAATCACCGTGAGATACAGTTACAGAGCTTTCATGTTTGAGTTTCAGTCATACAATGATCGATCACCCACCCCTCTACCAGTGTGCATCTTTACCACCAAGGTCCCCAGTATCCCTCCATCCTGTTACTCTCCCTGCCTCTATGGCAGACAATCTCCCCCATACTCTCTTTTGTATTGCTTGTTATGAATAGCATGAGATGTCACGCAGTCAAAACAGCGGCCACATGCTCCTGAAATTCTAAAATTTTAGATAATTAGAGTATGGAGGCATCCCTGTAGCCAGCTGCTCAGGTCAGAGATTCTTTTGTGTGTCTCTGGATCATGGCCATTAAGGAGCTTAAGTGGCAGTTTGTGGGCGTGACCTCCAGGGTCCCATGGGGACTGGGGAATGAGAAGGACCGACCAGTCCCCTATCCCTTGAGGCCTGGAGTTTGTCATCACTGAACCCACATACCCGCACTTCTCATTGGGTTCTGGAAGTTGGTGGCTACTGGGGTTTTTAGGGGGCAGGTGGAGGAAACCTTGTCCATTTTGATGCCTGAGCTCCAGCCTGGAACCCAGTCTGTGGCACAGTGCACAGCCAGCTTTGTGGATTGAAGAGTTCCTGTTTCTCAAACCAACTTGATCTCAAGTGGTGGATGACACTGAAACAGAGGTCCTTGTATTTGGAAAGAAGATCTAGCTTCTCCCCACCCCACCCACCTCCCTTGAAGGGAAATAGACTTAATGCAAGTGCAAGGCATGACTCTCACCATTAGATTTCAGCAGGTTTCCATGCCCCCTCCCACCCTCTTCCTCCACCATCACCCAGGATGGTGCGAGGCTGCAACACATCAACAAGATGCCAGACATCTCTTTCTGTAGAGAGAGATTTCCAGTGACTTCCAGGACTATAGAATGTGCCTTTGGTACAGTTTTGCTTATTTTCTTTTTTTCCCCCTAAATTTTATTTAGGCACCATGATTTATAAAGTTATTCATAGTCAGGTTTTAGACGTACACTATTGCAGCATGATCCCACCACCAGTGTCAGCTTCTCACCAGTGTTCTCGGGTTTCCTCTCATATCATTAGCCTCTCAGCCTGCCCTCTTGACAGGCACCTTTCTAAGTTTTGTTGTTCAAAGTTTTTGAGTCTCTTGATTTCAGTGTCGTTGACTCTAGTTTGGATATTTGGCTCTTTTGGCTCATTCTTTGACAGGCTGTAATGATAGCACAGTGGGTAGGACGTTTGCCTTGCATGCAGTCAACCCGGGTTTGATTCCTCTGCCCCTCTTGGAGAGCCCAGCAAGTTACTGAGAGTATCCTGCCTGCACGGCAGAGCCTGGCATGCTCCCTATGGCATATTTGATATGCCAAAACCAGTAACAACAAGTCTCACAGTGGAGACGTTCCTGGTGCCCACTCAAGAAAACCAATGAACAGTGGGAGGACAGTGTAGAGTGCATTCTTTGACACCACTTTTGTACCTTAACTCTCTGACCTGGCCCCATTGACTCTCATCTGCTTCTTCTACCCCTCCTTCCACTTTTTCTTTCCTTCTCTTTACTCTGGGACCAAGGTTGGCCTGGGCATTGCCCCATTTAAAACATTGCTTTCCCTCATCTGGTTATTCTGAAATGACAGACACCTATTGCATTTTATTTATTGAAAGGTGGGGCTCATAATTCCAGTGTGGTTGACTCTGTGGTTCGTATATTTAGGTCAATCATTCCTTAACACCACCTTGACCCTTATCCCCTGTTTATCTCTTGTTTGAGATAAGTGAGGAGAGGAGAGAGGAGAGCAATCTCTGAGAGGGATGCTAAGATAGTTAATATGCATTGGACTCTAGCGTTTAGAAAAACAGGTGCTTGAGCTAAAGCAGAGACCTCAAACTTATTCGACCTATTGCCCCATTTTCTTTTTTATTTAAGTTTATTTATTTTTATAAAGTCGTTCATGATGGTTTATTACATTCAATATTCCAACACCAATGCCACCACCAGTGCACCTTCCCACCACCATTATTTCCAATTTTCCCAGCCACCCCAATAGCAAGTCCTGAATAATTTATTTTATTTGACTTATAAATAATTTGCTAAAAATGTTAAAAATATTTCCTTAGAAGAAATTGCATGAATACTGTTGTATCTCACCATGGAGCCATTAAGTCTTTATAGAAGAGAGTACAAACATGTTACGGATTAATCCTTGTGTGTTTATATTTTCTTAATCAAGATTGGTTGTCTTCAACTTTACATCCCATCCAATGTGATGTGCTATTCTTGGTTCATCAGTGGTGTAGAGTTTGAGATGTCTCTTGAGGAATTCAAAAATTTTGAATGGGGTGATACAGCTATAGTTAAATTTTTAACCGGATGATAACTTTGGGTGCCCTGGATGACCAGAGCCTGACACCAGGTCCGGGAAGCATCTCTGCAACTTTTTGATCTCTTTCAAGATTTATTTTTGAGTCTCTAGATCATGGTTGATTAATGAGGCTATTTGGTACCAGAGGCAGTTCATGGGTGTGACTGCCAGACTTCTGGAAGAACAGGGAGATGGGGGAGGTAGCTCATCCCCAACTGCATGAGAGCCTGGAGATTTCAGTCACAAAACCCGTATACCTGGGTTTTTCAACAGATCAATTTCTGGATGGTCCGGCACTAGAGTCCGGCAGTGAGCTTGGTGGCAATTGTGGATTGTGGAGGTTTTCGGCTGCTGGGGGTCTGTTTGGGTGGGTGCTGGGCTCACCTGTCCCTTCTTCCTGGGTGCCCTGGATGGCTCAGTCTGGTGCAGGGTGCAGAAGGATCTATGCTGTTGCCTCATTTTTATAAAACAAATTTCATTCAGTTCCCAGCCAGAAAAATCTATTACTTTCTTTAGGCAAACAAATAGAAAATTTCCTCAGTTTCACCTGAGTCAGCTAGAGGCTCCGACCCCATTATTCCCATGCTGGGAGAGGCAGCATTGCCCTCTCTGAGAATCATCGAGCTAATGTTTCAGTAATTTTACACTGGGAAAATGTGAATTATAAACATTGATTGGAGAAGCTTTAAGAGCCTAGTGTGAGAACCATAAGGATGGGCCAACCTTCAAAGGCAGGGAGTAAAATGCAGGGAAGGAGACTTAGGGTTGATTTGAGGACAGCATAAAAAAGTAACAAGAGATTATACTGTCATTTTAGCACATTGTCTTGGGAAAGTGTGGATTTTTGGCCCCCATACAGTGGTGACTTAGAAACAGTCTTTTTTTTTCACACAAAAATATAGTGTGGGAAAAGTGAGTTTGGCCATTTGAAACAATTATGTTATCATTTTATCTGAGAGTGAAAGTTTTGATTTGTCAGAGGATGGTGAATGAGCTTTTACTGCGTGACCCTTTGATGGCTGTGTATTTCTATTGGAAACATCCTGTATCATTAGAAAAAATATTTTTAGGGGCCAGAGTAATATACAGCAATATACGGTGCTTGCCTTGCGTGCATTTGACCCGGGTTCAATCCCTAGCTCCACATCTGGTCTCCTGAGCCTGCCAGGAATGAGTGCAGCCAGGTGTGAGCCCCGAGCACTACTAGAGGTGACCCCCAAACCAAAATTAAAATAAAATAATGGGGCAGGCACGATAGTATAGCAGGTAGATGCTTGAATCGGCTGACCCAAGTTCGATTTCTGGCACCCCATCTAATCCCCGAGTCTGCCAGGAGTGAGCCCTGAGTACAAAACCAGGAGTACACCTAAGCACTGCTGGGTGTGGCCCCAAACAAAAATAATCTAATTCATAAGCAGTGTTTTAACAATTTTTTGTTTTCTTTTCAGAAGGTAAGAGGAGCCTCAGGTGGAGCTTTACCAAAAAGGAAGAATTCCAAGATATTTTTAGGTAATGTAAGTAGTTAACTAAAGTGTGCTAGGATTGTGTGTGTTTGTGTGTGTGTGTGTACATGTGCATGCTGATGTTTTATTTGGAGTTACAGGTTGTTTATTGCTCTACAATTTAAAAGTAAGAAGAAATATTTAAATTGAGATGATCTGTCTCCGCTTAGCATTTATTGAGTTTAAGGATGCTTTTAGCATTTTTATTCAGGTAAGTGTTTTGAAGCAATTATATTTAAAGTGATTGGAGAAGAATTATCATTCTGCTTCAGTCTCTTTCATCACTGCTTTGAAAGACATTTTTCTCACCCTCCCCTTAAAAAAAATATTCACCACACTGCAGTCTTTTTTTGAACTTTGTCACTTTTTCTGCCCACAAATGCCTTTTATTTACCCCCCAGCTGAATTCGGGATTCACCCCCATGTTGCATTTCGTCGCCATAACTTCTTTGAGCCTCTTCCATTGTGATCAAGTCTTGTCTCAGTCTCTTTCTTTAATCTTTTTGACCCTTTGGACAAGTACTGGTTAGGTATTTGTAGATGTACCTTATTTTGGGCTTGCCTGATATTTTCTCACAGGGATTTTGAAGTTAAGCATTCCTTCTTTCTTTCTTTCTTTCTTTCTTTCTTTCTTTCTTTCTTTCTTTCTTTCTACAAGCGATGTAAAATAAATTATTCAGGGCCTGCTATAGAGGCATGCTTGAGGGGTGGTTAAATTGGAAATAATGGTGGTGGGAAGGTGGGATTGGTGTTGGAATATTGAATTTAATAAATCGGAACAACTTTATAAAATAACTTTCTTTCTTTCTTTCTTTCTTTCTTTCTTTCTTTCTTTCTTTCCCAGAGTGCCTCCAGGGGTGTGATGTCATGGGACACTGGAAGAGTCATACTATCTTCCAGATTATTTGTAGATGCTCTTTTCCCGCATGAGATTAAGGTGTTCTTATTTTCTCTTTCTCCTCCTCCTCTTACTCCTCCTCCTCCTCTCTCACCTTCTTCCTCCTTCTTGTTTATCCTGTGTTTTCAGCAACAAACTCATTGCTACTGTACTAACAAGACACATTTTTTTTTGAGAAAAGTTATTTATTTCTATAAAGTTGTCCATATTTATTAAATTCAGTGTTCCAACACCAATCCCACCTTTCCACCATCATTTATTTCCAGTTTTCTCAACCATCCCTCAAGCTTGCCCTTATAACAGGTTCTGAATAATTTATTTTACATTGCTTGTTATAATTCGCTAAAAATGATCCAAAATATTTCCTTAGAAGAAGGCATGTGAATATTGTTCTTTCTCACCATGGAGCCATTAAGCCCTTGTAGAAGAAATTACTAACATGTCATTACCAGTTAAGCCTTGTGAAAGACACACATTATTTAAAAGATAAAGCTATTGGAATAACTCTGGGAGCCTCATTTCCTCCCTGCGTGGACACTCTACTCCACCCTGGTCTCCACCTTGCTGTCTTCTCTCTTTGATCTTCAGCTCATGGATTTCTTGATGAGGCTTACCTGCATTTGATTTGCACACCCAGCCAGTCTTTGCCTCTTCTAGGGATGCCTTAGATTAGAATTTTGATCAATCAACCAAACCCTAGATTGCATGGAATGAGCTTCATAGCTGAATGATTAAATGGCTTTGAGTTTGGTTATTAGCCTTCTGCCTTTTTCTACGGATGAAGGGAATGCCACTATTGAATTAAATCAGCATGCATTCTTGAAGCATGCATTCAGAAATAATTAGTAATCCCTTTTGGGGGAGCCGAGGGAGGGCTGTGGTGTTTGGGCCACACCCAACCTTGCTCAGATCCCCTCTTGGATCACTCCTGGTGATGCTTAGAGTACCATAGGTGATACCAGGGATTTGAACCAGTGTCAGCCACATGCAAGGCAAGCACCTTACCACCTGTACTATCTCTCCGGATACTCCATATTGTTTTCTATTTAGATGCTTCACGAATTGATGTTAGCTACTTAGTTCTACTTAATCACACCAAGAATTCGGTTTTATAAACCTTGACTAATACATATCCTAAATGGGTGCTTCAAATCTCCCAGGAGTTGTACTTTTTTAAATTTTTATTTTTTATTTTTTAATTTTCTTATTTGGTGGTGGTAGAGTTGGGGTGGACTGGGAGTGGTGTACCACCCAGTAATGGTCAGGGACCAATTTGGCCTTGAGCTCTGGAATGACCCCTGGTGGTACTTGGGGGATCATGGGAGGTGGCAAAGATTCCAATTGAGGTGAGCCACATGCAAGCCACATAGAAGCCTTGACCCTGCGGTGCCATCTCTCTGGCCACAGTAGCTTTACTTTTATCTTCCTGGTCATAGTGGGTTTTTTTTTTCAGTTTTGTGGTCTACAAATTAATTTTTATGTAATCTGTGTAGGACTGTGTTAGGACTATGTCTGGATTATGTAACTGAAAGTTTAAAATACTGGTGATTTTAAATAAGATAGATGCTTTCATGAGAGGCTGCTGGGAATCTGTACATCCTGGCCTGTAAGTGCCAGCTTCATAACCCAGAGTGGCTGCTGAAACCCCAGCCATCATGTCCTCATCCTGGAAAGCAATGGAGTTGAAGTGGAAAACACAAAACATTCTCATTGCCAAGCTGTGTCAGTTTCTCTTTGCAAACCTTATCTCAGATTCACATGTGAAGCCCATGTCCTCCTCTCTAGTCAGACAGGCATGGCTGCAAGGGTGCTACGCTGGAGACCAGAGAGGACCATCCTTACTAGGTTCTAGAGTTAAATGTCTAAGAAAGAAAGGTAGAGTGGGCGTTGGGAGCTCTCGGCCTTCACTAGACTCCATGTGCATTGGGTTGTCTCTAAAGTGAGGATGATAACATATAATTCTTGTGGTCTTTTTTTTCTTCAACTAGAAATTACTAAAGTACTAGTTTTTTGTTTTAATTGAATCACTGTGAGATAGAACATTACAAAGTTGTTCATGATTGGGTTTCAGTCATACGATGTTCCTGCACTCATCCTCCATCGATGTAATTTTCCATCACCAATGTCCCCCGTTTCCCTCCCACCCCAACAAACCACCCCCCATCCCAGCCTGCCTCTGTGGCAGCACCTCCCCCCCCCACACACGCACACTTTCTTTCTCTCTTTCATTTTAGAAATTATGGTTTGCAATGCAGATGCTGAAATTATATAGAGGAGGGTTCATTATGATAACATTAATAGAAAGTACTAGTTTTATTGCTGTTGAAATGCAGTTATGAAGCTGCTCCATAGAGCAGCCACGCCGGGGACTGATACTGTGTTCTGGAGATGGACTTTCCCCTCCATTGTCAATGATTATGTCAGTATTTCCCATTTGATTGGCCCAAATTGAAACCACTTAATGATTTTTATGACCGTTGAGAGTAATTTTTGGGGGGAGTCTGGGGGGAGGTTAGAGTCATACCCAGCAATGCTCAGGGCTTACTCATAGTTTTGCACTCAGGGGTCACTCCTGGCAGTGCTCAGGGGACCATATTGGGGATGAAACCTGGGTCTGCTGCATGCAAAGTGAACATCCTACCTGCAGTGCTATTGCTCTGTATATTGCTCTGATAGTGATTTTGTAAGGGAACCTGAGGACATTTTCTGGTGCCAAGTGGCTGACCCAAGTCTCCTGCTTGCCCCTCTCTGAGAGTCGTTACCCGTCTCAATTGCCTTGACATGCATTCGAGTGAAATCACAGTGAAAGATACTTCCCTCAACTTTAGTGTTTGCTGATAATGAAAGAAGAATCAATAATAGCAATTATTGGCTATTTTTTTGTGTGATGGGATTCCCAGATGGTGTTCAGGGAACCCAGGGTCCCTTCCAGTGATGCTTGGCCATGTGGGCTGGCTGTTCAATGTAAGGACCCGATAAATGCAGTGCCAGGCAGGCTCTGCCCTGCTGGGGCCCGCACTGCTTGGGGACCTCCAGGACCACAACTGGTGGTACTCTGGGTGATGTACAACCAGTGCGACCAGTGATGCCCAGGGAACCATGTAGTCCAGGGATTGAACTGGGGTTGACTGCATTTAAGACATTCCTAACTCCTATTAAGGCTCTCCAGCCCAATTATACCAGTAATTATTTTGAATTGTTGAGGTTCTGTTCCTTTTTAGGATTTATACATAGCTTAAATCTATATGTATTTAGGTGTTTTTTTTTTTTTGGTCATATATAACACATACATAAAGCTTAAGAAAAAGATTCACAAGGCCTCATACTGAAAGGAAGTTTCTCCTTCCCTGCTTCTTAGTTAGTCTTCATTAATGACAACTAGTTTTTTCTGTTGGTACATCCTTTGTATCCTGCATATTGTTTCTGTGTGTCTGTACATAAAACATGGTTTGAAGTCAGGGATATAGCTCAGCAGTACAGCCCAAGCTTGATGTGTGAGACCCTAGTTTCTGTTCCTGGCACCAACAATCACACACATAGTATGCTTGTAGATGATGGTGATGGTGATGATGATGATGATGATGATGATGATGACTTTCTGTCAGTGCTGGGGAGCTATTAATACTTTGGGTCCTAAATGATATCCTGAGGCCCCGAGCTGGACTGAGCTTACGTGTACTGGGGTAGGGGTAGGGGGATTTCAACTCTTCAAGGGAAACGGAAGTGCCCTTGCGACAATGAACCAGTGTTAATTCAGTCGTGTCACTGTTAGATTCTCCTGCGTTCCTTACAGCGACTTCCTTTGTGAAGCTGTTTTTGGATGATTTCTGCATGAAATCACTCTGGAGTGGGGAATGTAGGAGGCAGTGCCCAACCAGACTCTAGGACACGTTGTGTGGTTTCCAGCAGGTACTCACATTCCATTAGTGAACTGCAGGTATTTAAGAATGAAATGGGACATTTTATTTCTTATTCTTATTCTACAGTCCAGGGCCAACCAGCAGCTTTCTTCTGTGCATAAACTAGAGTCAGTACGTTCACGAGAGCTGCTGTGGGCATCTGAACCCTGGTTTCATTTAGGGATAATGCCTCTACTTCATTTTCAGAGCTTAGCAAGTTATCTCTTAGAAATAATTGGCCATATTCCCAATCACACTCCCAGGATTCTGAGATAGAATCATGTTGGGAAGACATTAAAAATATGTATGTGTGTGTATGTGTATATATATACATATATGTATATAAATATTATATAACACAGTGTGTTATATATTATATATATGCTGTGCTGGAGATCAATTAGAGTTGGCCTGGGCAAGGCAAGTGTCTTAACCTTTGTACTAGCTCCCTGGTTGTGTGTGTGTGTGTGTTTGTGTGTATAATAAAATTATATGAAATATTTGTTAAAGTTAGAAAAAAGAATCCATCTACATAGCTGCTGGGGGAAATTGGGGTGTCCTACTGGTATTTGTCCCTAGAATGTGGTTACTCTGTAGCTTCCTCAGCTAGAAACTAGGGCAAAATTCTAATTAGAGAACTTTGAATGAATATTATTGATTTATATGTAGGAGTATAGGGTTAAGTATACCATAAAGAAAGGACAACCTTAGATTGTCCCTTAAGATCAGACCGTTGTAAAAAATCAAACACACACACACACACACACACACACAAACCAACGAAGTATATCTTACCCCTGTTAACTTCTTCTTAATTTGAATTAAGATGTTTGGGGAGGGCTGGTTCAATTTCTGGTACCACAAATGTTCCCCTGAGCACCACCAGGAGTAATCACCGAGCACAGAGCCAGGAGTAAGCCCTGAGCACTGCCTGGCATGGCGCAAACATCCTTCCCTCTTTCCCCAAAAGAAAAGATGTTTAGAAAAGGCCTAGTTCCCCTTTTATTTCATTAATTTCAAATATCTACAGGGGTAAGGCATTTGCCTTGCACGAGGCTGTCCTGGGTTCTATCCCTAGCACTGCATATGGTCCTCTGAGCAAAATTTAGGAGTGTTCCCTGAGTATAGAGCCAGGAGTAAGCCCTGAGCATTGCTGGGTGTGGCCCAGAAACAGAGAACAAGAAAACAAGACATTAGGTGTTGGAGTGATAGTACAGGTTATACATGAAACTGATCCAAATTGATCCCCACACAACATGGTCCTTTGAGCTCTGCCGGGTGTAGAGGCACCCTGAGAACCTGCAGGGTGACCCGGGTAATCCCCTGCACTACTGGGCCACAACTTTAGGCCTCACTTTAACTTTCTTGCCAGGACAAGAATGCCTGGGGGAGGTGCCTCAGGCCTCCTGAGCATGGCTGGGGAGACAACCTCCCACATCAAAAAAAAAAAAAAAGAAAGTAATCTATAATTTAAATGTGAAGCAGCAAAAAAGTTCGGCATTTTTGCAACACATGATTGTACTCTTGCTGAAATTTACATATATCATATATATGTTACCAATTATGAAAAAAGAATCCTTTCTTGCTTTGCTGTTGCCCATAGCACTTTGGCATTGGCTCGTTCCAAAGTCTCCCTTCACAGAGATTGCCAAGTGTGTGGCATGAATCTGCAGGGGTGGGAGTGGGGGTGGGAGGGTGATATGGAAGGTGACTAAGATCCATTTCCTGTTCCTACTGTTGACCATCTAAAAGCGTTGAAGTTCTTACCTTCTCTCAGATCACCCAGAAAATCCCCACATGACAACTTGGTCTTTCTGGAATTTATTTAGGGATTGCTTTGGTGCCAGCACTGCACGGGAGGGGAAAGTCACATCTTATTAGGAACGAGAGAAGGTGATGGTGATGGTCTTGCAGGCCGATGACAGCTTCCCTTTCCCAACTGAGCCTATCCTAGGTGCCTTCAAACCATTTGCTTAATCCTTTAAAAGGTCTTTTGTGGAGCAGATCATGTTATCCCTAGCTTACTCAGGAGGACAATGAGCTTGCCCTGGGTAACAGAGCTGGTAAATGTCACAGTGGAATTTAGTTTCTCTTTTGTCATTGTTGTTGAGGTAAGATATGTATTAGCACTAAGAGAGAATGTTTTTAATGGAAAAAAAGACACTAGTATGTTATATGAGCCAAATATGCTCACAGAAACAAAAGATATGGTTGTTTAAAATTACTATGCAGAACATAAGAACAAATACTAGCTCTTTTCATTTGTTCAGAGTTGCTTCCAATCTTGTCTGTAAGCATATTCTCTTTAAAGTTCTCTTTATAGTCAAGAGTGATTTTGTCATTTTAGCATAAATGTCTCCATTTATCTACATAGTCTCAATAAATGTCATTTAGCTGAAAATCAGTTGAGTTGAACACTATTCTCATTGAACATATTGGTTCCAATTTTGAAAGCTATAAACATTGAGGCAGACTTTTAGAACACACAGAGTGTCTGTCTTTGAATTATTTCCTTTACAAAAATGTCTCGAACTTACTTCAGTTTTGAGACTCTTTGATGTTGCTTCTTGTCAGATTAGCATTTTATGACTTTTGAACAGTATTTTCTCTTTATTTTGGCATTTTTGATTCTTGCTACTTAGAGCCTATTAACATGTTTATATTGAGTTGAACTGCATCTCATTTTATTTCCAATTGAAATTACCTTCTCTGTGAGAGTTCAAGAGTGGTGTGTGCAAAAAAGACATGAAGGAGTGTTTTATACGGGTAATACTTGAACTTAGAGCCTCTGGTTCTTAGTAATTGTCTGATAACAATAACTGTGTCCCATCTGTAGAGCTCATGTCTGTGTGCCTATTTATTTATGGGCCTCTGTGCACGTGTGAGTGTACTGTGGCTCAGTACCTGTCACCATAGTTCCAAACATATAAATACACAAACATGATCTGAGATTCTGGCATCTGTGTGCGTGTGTGGCTGAAATGTCCATGTAAATATTGTGACAAGATATTTCCTTGAACTTTCAGTTACCCTTTATCAGGATTAACTACCCAAAGAGGCCCTGGCTTGATAGTTAATGGGCTGGGGAAGCTCATCTTTCTTACTAACTATTCTCCATGGGTCGGCGTACAGCAGGATTGTTTATATTACAAGGGTTCCCTTCTCTGGTTTAGGATACAATTGCTTGACTACTCTAAGAGGGAGAGAGAAAAGAAATAGGGAGACTGAGATTTTATGTTCAAGTCATATCTGCTATTTTTTGGCTACCAATCACATATCCGTTGATTTTTCCATATAAGCTCTAGGATAAGTGTCATTATCTCCATTGTACAAATGAAGATACTTAATAAGGCTTAGAGTCTGTAACTCACATAGAGTAACATTAAGTTTTGGAACCAGAATTGAACCTATTTTCTTTTTTATTGCAGTGTTGTGAAAAGCATTCTAGCTATTTCTTTTTTTTTTTACCCTTTTTTATTTTGGCAGTGGTGGTGGATGGGGGAGGTGCTTACCCATGCTCAGGGGTTACTCCTTGCTCTGTGCTCAGGAATTACTCCTGGCAGCTTGGGTACCATATGGGATGCTGGACTTCGAATCTGGGTTGTCCTTGTATGAAGCAAGTGCCCTACCCACTGTACTATCTCTCTGGCCCCTCTAGTTATTTATTTTTGTAAAATGAAGAACCAAGATCCTAACAAATTATGGTGAACAATCTATTTCTTTAAACATCTTTGGAATGTAATATCCAGCACATATATCCATCCTAATTGTTTAGCTTTCTGCTATAACTCAATCTTCTATTTATGCATCTATCACTTATAAATACATGTTCGTAACTTAGGCAACAGGGAAAGGTTTTACATATCCAGTGTCAGTGTCTGCCCTGCTTTGTCTTTCGTGAGGGCTGTTGGCCTTCCCCGCGAATGGTCCCTTCCTGTGGAACGTTCTTTCTTCACTTCTTGTTCTTTGTTTTTCTTTTCTCCTCAGATCTAGATACTGATGACGATTTAAATAGCGACGATTATGAATATGAAGATGAAGCCAAACTTGTTATATTCCCCGACCACTATGAAATAGTACTACCAAATATTGAGGAGTTACCAGCCCTGGTCAGTGAGTGTGCACGGCTGCTAGCTAGATGCGCGTGGCTCTCTGTGTCAGGTGTGTGTGTGCATGTGCAGTGTGCGTGGCCTGGTGGCGGGAGGGCCGGGGCTTGAGTGAGAGAAGCATGGGGGAGGATGGGCCTGGACACAAGCTCTTGCAAGTTCCGTTTCAGTCCCGTCCAGCCAGTGCATCTCCCCTGCTGGTTACTTCCAGTGACATCTGCTTGGCCTTGCCCTTGGGCCTTCTGGTGCAGAGCCTGGTGGCTTCGGGCTGCCTGTGAATCACAGTCTCTTTTTAGATGCTGCAAACTCTGTCCCCCAGATGTATAGGGACAGCTGGAAAGGGACTGCCCTCAGAGCCGAGGGACAGTGATTTTTACTCCTTTTACACAATTGGCTTCATTTAAAATTTTGTTGGAGGATTGCTTGGGGGTCACAAGTGAGTGCCTGGCACGCACAGGGACCTGCGTTTGATCCCTGGCACTCCATAGTATTGTTGAGCACTGCCAGATGGAGCCCTGGAGACCCCTAGCCCCTCCGGCGTGAGTGGCACTGCATGCGAGGCCTGGGAATTGATTCCCCCTGGCTGGATATTAATGGGAGTGGCTCCTGGACCCTGATCTCTGCTTGGGAGCCTCCCACCCTATATCTTGTTTCTAAAAAAAATAAATAAATAAAAGACCCCCACTGCTAAAACAATAGTAACAAGGATGAAAACAAGAAAGTATTTACAAATCACAGGGTTGCAGGTGTTCCATGGAAAAGTGAACCGACTTCAATTTTGTTCTTCCTGCCTCTGCACTCAGGAATTACTTCTGGCGGTGCTCAGGGGACCATATGGGACGCAGGGATGGAACTTGGGTCTGCCACGTGCAAGGCAAGAGCTCTACTGGCTATATTTCACTCCAGCCCCTGTTGTTTTTATAGAGTCTTTTTTTTTTTTTTTTGCCTTTTGGGTCCCACCCGACAATGCACAGGGGTTAGTTCTGGCTCTGCACTCAGGAATTACCCCTGGCGGTGCTCAAGGAATCATATGGGATGCTGGGAATCGAACCCAGGTCACCACATGCAAGGCAGACGCCCTGCCTTCAGTGCTGTTGCTCTAGCCCCTTGTAGAGCACTTTCAGTTCTCTACAACAACTTGAAGCTGACAGTAGCTGTGGTTCTTTGGAGGTGACAATTTTGCTTTATTTTGAATCTCAAATTCTGGAACTGGACAGATTCCTGAAGGGACACCGTTTTTTCTGTTCGTCCCTCATTCCCTCTGTATCCTCTGTCCCCCCTCACCTCATACCCCTTTGTTCTTTCCTCTTTCCTTACCTTGCTCCTCTCTGTGCCCAGTTTTTCCAGAGCCTGATCCAGAGCACATCAAGGGCAGGAAATATCAAGTTTTGACCTGTCGCTTTGCCTTTTTTTTTTCTCCTCACACTCTGTCCTGACTAAAGGCGCTGTAATCCTCTGGGCACCGTCTCTGGGCACTTGCTTGCCCCGGAGGAAACATTTGTGCTTGGAGTTCCCATGTCATTGAGGGACCTGGATTCCACCATTCAACTTCTTTGACTCCTAATCTACGTTAGACCTAAATATAGCACCAGTAGAATGAAACTTTTGTCTGTTTAGTGCTGGTGCCACTTTCCTCTAATTATTAAACCCAACTATCCCTTCTAGTGCTGCAGGTACAGCTTTTAGCAATGCAGACAGAATTAAATTACCTCTGTGTTCTCCGATTTCCTGGCTTGTCTCATGTGGGTGTTACCAAGGATAAAATATCTAACTGGACAAAACGGTCCTTCCTTGTCCCATTACCTGAAATTATATACTAGAGCTGATGTCTCTATAATTCCAAGAGGTCTCACTGCCCTTGTTTTCTATAACTCTAAAATTTGTGATTATAAGAAGCATGCCCTCAGTATACAACCTGAGAAGTAACAAAGTAAAGTGAAGAAAGTCTTTGTGAAAAAAACTTAATAAAAAACTTTTAGAATTGATTTCTTGGGAGTATTATTAATATGTAACATTAATTTCAAGTATACATCTTAATGACTTTGTATTTGCATATAGGGCTAAGTACTCACTGCAGTAGCACTGTAGCATTGTAGCACTGTCCTCCTGTTGTTCATCGATTTGCTCGAGCGGGCACCAGTAACATCTCACAACAAACTGTGAGACTTGTTGTTACCATTTTTTGGCATATTGAATACGTCACGGGTAGCTTGCCAGACTTTGCCGTGTGGGCAAGATACTCTCGATATCTTAGTTAATATTCATCATGACATATAGTTATAATGGAGTGTTTATTAATATAGTGTATTTCTTGTAATGATGACTTCCCTGGGTTTGATCTCTAGTATTCCTCTGATTCCCCAAACTCAGCCAAGAGTGACCTCTGAGCAGAGAGTCAGAAGTCAGCCCTGAATGCAGCCAGGTGTGGCCCAAAAATGAAAAGTAAAAACAACAATAACAACAACAACAACAAAAAGACACCTAAAAAATAGAGGTCACCTCTAGTGTGCTGGGGGGTTGCTGGCTTGGGGCCCAGATTCAGCGGTTTTGTGGATTGATGGTTTGGAGCTGAGGCCCAGTGATTAGGGCCACCAGGACCACATCCAGTGGTGCTCAGGAACCACCAGGGTTTATACCTGGTAGTGTTTAGGAGGCCTTGTGGTGCCCGTGATCAAAATCAGAACCTTACACATCCCTGGCATGTGCTCTAAACTTATGCAATCTCCTTGTCCCAGGTAAGGTAAAGGTAAAGGTAAAGGCCCTCCCGTTGATCATCGATTTGCTCGAGCGGGCCCAGTAACGTCTCCATTGGAGACTTTCCTGTTACTGTGTCTGGCATATCGAATACTCTCGGTAGCTTGCCGGGCTCTCCGAGAGGGGCGGAGGAATCGAACTCGGGTCGGCCATGTTGGCCGCTTGTAAGGCGAACGCCCTACCCGCTGTGCTATCGCTCCAGCCCGGCTGGAGCGATAGCACAGCGGTAGGGCGTTTGCCCTGCATGCAGCCAACATGGCCGACCTTGTCCCAGGAATGAAGATTTTTTATATCTTCTTCCTTACCAAGTTTCAGCATGGTATTATTATAGTGGTCAAAGCTACAAACCTTGGGGGCCAGAGAGATGATGGTACAGTTGATAAAGTGCTTACCTTACCCGTTCAATCCTTGACACTGCATATGTTCCCCCAAGCCCTGCCAGGAGTGATTCCTGAGTGCAGAGCGAGGACTAAACTCTGACGAGTATGGACCCCAAACTGAAATAAATAAAGGGTGGCTCTTAAAAAATAAATGCACCTACCAGTGATATAGATGGGTCAGTTAACAACTTGTTTAACTACTAGAAGGACCAGAAAACTGTTTTCCAAAAGGATTATGCTGTTTATTTATTTTTTTGTCCCTGTCAGAATGTAAAACTTTTAAAACTGCTAGATGCACCTTACAGCCTTAAGCAAACAGCAAGTGTGGTGAGAGAAGTGTATCCAGGATCCTCTGGGGTTTGGGAGAGAGCAGAGAGCAGAGTCTGTCCCCCGTTTGTCCCATAGTTGGTTCCCAGATGGGTGTCAGAGATTGGTGCTCACGAAGTGAGCCGATCTGGCACAGAGACTTCTTGGCATGTCCCCATCCAGGGTCACATTTGCATCAGCTTAAGAGCAGGAGCCATGCTGCTGGCATACCGTTCTTGTGCCTTTGACCACATGCCTTTGTGTGATGAGTTGAGGATATTGGATATCCGGGTGTATATTTGTTATGAGGAAAACATGCCACTTAGGTAAGTCCTGGGAATTTCTGCAGCTCATTTCACCCTGGTAAATTGTTCACTGTCTACTTTTTACTCTGCTTGCTCAGAGGTTGCAATTGCTTAATCTGACTCCATGCTTGGGTTTACAAACTGAATTTGGTTCCTTGCTGTCTTGAGTCCTGTGTCCTTGCAGAGTCCATGCCTAGGACAGAATCTGGCTAGATCTAGGTAGAAAGTGTCAGAGGTAGGAATCTACAATTTTGGCTCTTGTGCACTTAATATTTTCTTAGATTAAATTGCATTTATGAATCAACATTGACCTTTATTTTCTAGAAATTGCCGGTTTCTTAAAGTTTTTATTTAACACTGATGGGTTTGTCTTGCAGGTAACAATCGCTTGTGATGCAGTTCTCAACTCAAAATCTCCGTACAGAAAGCAGGACCCTGACACGTGGGAAACTGAGTTGCCAGTTTCCAAATATGCCAATAGCCTCATCCAGCTGGACAATGGAGTCAGGATTCCTCCCAGGTGAGAGTCAGGAAGCAAAATGGAACTTCAAATATGAAAATCGGCTAAGGGATATTTGTGTTTAAAGACTACAAAGATAATATATACCGCTCACCTAAATTAGTAGTTAACTCTTTTTTTTAAAATAAAAAAAATAAGATTTAGGGGGCCAAAGATAGTAAGGTGGGTTAAGGTGCTTGCCTTGCACACATCTGACCCTGGTTCAATCCCTGGCACTGCACTTGTTCCCCTGAGCCCTCCAGGAGTGATCCCAGAGCGCAAAGTGAGGTAGTAAGCCGTGAGTATTGCCAGATAAGGCCCCCCTAACCCCCAGCCGAATAGAAGAAAAAAGATTAACAAATCAAGGACTAGACAGTAGCAACATAGCCAGGAGTGAATTGCACTCAAACCTATCTTTTTTGGGGGGCTCCCAAGAATTGACAATAAGATCTGGTATCTCACTGGTAATTTATTTATTTTTATTTTTATTTATTTAATTTTTTTTTGCTTTTTGGGTCACACCCGGCAATGCACAGGGGTTACTCCTGGCTCATGCACTCAGGAATTACTCCTGGGGGTGATCAGGGGGACCATATGGGATGCTGGGAATCGAACCTGGGTCGGCAGCGTGCAAGGCAAACACCCTACCCGCTGTGCTATCGATTCAGCCCCGGCAATTTATTTTTTGAAGAATGTCTTATCATTTATTTATTTTGGTTTGGGGGCTACACCGAGTGATGCTCAGGCTTTATTCCTGGCTCTGAGCTTAGGGATTTCTTCTGGCAGTGCTTGGGAACCATATGGGATGCCAGAGATGGAACCAGGTCAGCAGTATGCAAGGCAAGTACCCTTGCTCCGGCCCCCCACTGGCAGTTCTTGATCAGCTGGGTTGCAGTTGAATGCCGGGTCCCAAAGATATGACACCTTTCAGTACCTCGTGGTCATCCAGGCCATCCTGGCATTGTTGGCGGCCTCCAGGACTGCACCCAGTGCTCCTGTGGTGCTGGGACTTGAACTCAAGTGGGAGGTACGCTAGGCTTGTGTGCCCTGACTGCACCTGCCTCCAGCCTCTCCAAGCTGCTTGCATGATGGCGGCATATAGCCCCCAAAGTAGCACTGCAGGTCGTTCTGGGGTCTCTGGAGCACTCCTGCATGTGACCTGGCAGCTTCCAGACATGAAGGGTGTAGCTGGGAGGCCCCTGAGGACTTGCCTGGTGGTCTCCAACATGGCAGAAGAGCCTGAGAAGCTTCCCCGCATCGGGCCCTGGCACGGAGCTGCCTGGCCTGGACAGACTCACTATCTTGCCCACCTTGGCTGCTTGCTGGGGTCAGCTCCCGAGGATACCACCGGAATTCAGAATCTTCTTTAAGTCACTTCTAGGGCACCTCTCTTGAAAGAGTTGAGCGTTGCCACTTTCCAGCCCGGGATGTTCTCGAGTGCCCTGAGCACCTGCTCTGGCCTGGGCTGGTCTCCATAGAGGCAGGTGCACAGGGAAGGGGCTGCAGGTCGGGAACATTTGGGAACATCAGCTGCACTGCGTTCCTGTTCTGGGTGAGCTGGGAATGGCGGGCTGCCGTTGGGCCTCTGTGGTTCCCTGGGCTAAGAGGGTGGGAATCCTGATGCTGAAAACAGCTTGTGAAGAACTCAATGATCGAACTTCTGTAAAGTCTGGTAGCCATCCGGCAGCTAACATTCAGCCAAATTTATTTCCTTTCCACTTCCGGCAGTGTAGTTGGGTTTTATTTAAACTCCTGTGTTTGGCCAGGGAGGCGACTCCGTGGTAGACTGTGTGTTCCACATGTATGAGCCCCTGGTTTTAGTTCTGGTCCCCCAGATAATGGAATGAAGAGACCAGCTTTTGCCCTGTACTTAGTCCTGGAGAAATTTCCATGCTTGTGGACCTGGGTTCCTTCATTTTTGTTTGTTTGGGGACCATGCCCGTTGGTGTCCATCCCTACTCCCAGTGCTTTGCTGCCTGGGATCACTCGGCCCTCAGTGATGGTGCTCGGGGAAACACGCAGTGCTGGGGATCAAAGCCGGGCTTTCTGCAGCCACGTGGGATTCTAATGTTTGGAGCTTATTTAAGCATCACTGACCTTCACATAGGAATTTCAGGAAACGACTTCCTTCCTGCCCCTCAGTTTGCTGAAAGTACAGGATCATGAGAAAAGCTGGGAGCAGCAGCCCCTGAAGGGGTAGGGGCGGGAGGGGTGCTGCTCTGACAGGGTGACTGCAGTGAATTCCCCAGCCTGTTTCTCTGCCGACCGCTTCCTGCAGCGCCCTCCCTACATCTCAGTGTTTCCCAGAGTTGCCATTACTGCACCCTTCAAGTCCCTGTGTGTGCTGGGCTGATGGCACAGTGGGTAGGGCATTTGCCTTGCACACAGCCAACCCAGGTTCGATTCCCAGCATCCCATATGGTCCCCCGAGCACCGCCAGGAGTAATTCCTGAATGCATGAGCCAGGAGTAACCCCTGTGCATCGCCAGGTGTGACCCCCCCCCAAAAAAGAGTTGTAATTTATGAAATTAGTGATAGTTGGTTTTAGAGATGTAATATTTTGACAGCAATTCCGCCATCGGTGTCCCCTTATTCCATCCCCACCCCAACCCCTTGCCCCTGTCAACCTGACAGGCACATTGCAAAGACCCCATGGTGGCAGCTTAGCACTTATATTTTCAGTGTTGCTGAGTCTGTGTTTTGGATATAGGGCTTGACCCCTCAGCAGTATAACTGCAGCCCCGATGCCCGGTCACCCATTACTTCCCGTTTTCTTCTTTCCTCCCACTTGATTTCTTTCCTTTTCTGTCCTCAAGAAGGTACATTGCTAAGGGGGCGCTGAGTGATTTGTTTTTCTGTCAAGGGGGCAGTTTGCCCAATAAATTGGGCCTCTCTGTAGGATGGACATGTCCTAAGCCTGCCCTGCACTCCAGCTGTTCTGACCGAGCTCTCCAATGATATTCCAGTGGTTGGAAGTGTGCTCGGTGTGACCTGCGGGAAAACCTCTGGCTGAATCTGACGGATGGCTCTGTGCTCTGTGGCAAGTGGTTCTTTGACAGCTCCTCGGGCAACGGGCATGCGCTGGAGCATTACAGAGACATGGGCTACCCGCTCGCCGTGAAACTGGGAACCATCACCCCCGATGGGGCAGGTGAGTGTGCCTTTGCCAGGTGGGTGCACGCACGAGCTGCCTCAGAGGTTTAACCAGCGCCTCAAGCTCTAGGGCGGAAGTGTGGAGGCCTGGAGTCAGCAGCCCACAGGTGAGCCCTCATTCTTTCTTTTCTTAGCTGTGAGGCCTTGGGCAAATTTTCAACTCCTGAGCTTCAGGTTCCACATTTCTTTTTAAGGGCATACTTTTGGCTCTTGGCCCTGAGGGATCATTTTTGGTTGTGCTTAGGGGACCAAATCGGGTCCTGGGGATTGAATCTGTGTTGGCCACATGCAAAGCAAGCACCTTACCTGCTGTACTATCGTTCTGACTGCAGGTTCTTCATTTTGAGGGACATCATGCAACATGCATAAGCTTTAGACAATTACACACAGTAAGGTTTTTTTTTCCCCTGTGTTGTTTGCTTGCAGCTAATGAAGAGCCCCACTTATACACTCTACCCTGATCCGTAGCTCTGGTCACAGTCAGGTTTTCAAAGTTTGCTATTATTACTGTGTCTCTCTTGGCAAAGAAAATAGAAGTAGGATCCAGGACTTGTGACAAGAATATGCATAATCAAATCCACCATTAGAACAGAAACGGGAGGCCCTGGAATTCATTATGGGGATTAGTCTCTGAAGAACAAATGGTTTCATTAAAGAAGATGAGCTGATCTGCTGCTCTGTGTTCTGTTGGTGGTGAGGGATGATGCTACGGGGAGGCTGAGGATTAGAACTGGTTCCTACTTGTATTTTTAGTTTCAGACTTTCTTTAGGGTCTTACCCTATGTACTCTAGGATGTTAGCTTTTGACTGTGCTTTTACAGTTAATTTCTTTTACCGTTTCTGTGTGGGAAAGGGGAAATGATACCAGGATGAATCATGAAACACTTAAATATTATCATGGGCAGGGTCCTAAGAATCCATCTAAGGGTCATTGAAAACATTGATTAAAGGGCTGGAGAGCTAGTTACGGGTTAAGGCACTCACCTTACATTCTGCCAACCTGGTTTGATCCCTGGCCCCACATATGGTCCCTCAGCAATGCCGGCAGTGATCCCTGAGAACAGAGCCCAGGAATAAGCTCTGAGTATTTCTGGGTGCGACCCCCCAAACAAAAATCCAAAATGAAAAAGCAAAATCATTGATAAGTCATCAGTCTGGGACAATTTTCAGTTCAAGCACTTTCATCTTTCCAGGCTTTAGCTTTTTCTTCTTTACTTTAAAGTGACAAGGACTGGGTTGGAGAGATAAGACAGTGGGTAGGATGCTTGCTCTGCAGGCAGCTGGTTGTGGTTTGATCCCTGGCATCTTATATGGTTCTCAGAGCACCACCAGGAGTAGTTCCTGAGTACAGAGCCCAGAGTAACCCTTGAGCACTGCTGTATAAAGAAACCATCATGTCCTTTTAAAGGGTTATGTAGAAGGATTTTAAAGGGCTAGAGAGTGAGATTTTTAAGGGAATTTCCAATCCTGTGGGGAGAAATTGCAAAATGGCAAAGTGAGAATAATTCCTATGTTTCTTCTTTCTATGCTGTCTGATGTGGTGCTCTGATCAGACCAATTATTCAATGTCCAGCCCTCAGGACAATCTTTCCAGAACTTACACTGTTCATGGGCATGACTAGTTATAAAATTTCACCAGTTTGAAGGTAAGACTATAGGACTATGGTGTGCTCCTCTTTGGGTTTCACACAAAATCACACACATACTAGACACAAACGCTCTTTTGTTAAATATATTTGACCTATGTAATAATTACAAATTATTTTATAATTTGGTATAAATAATCAGATTCTACATAAGCTGATTCTATAAAAAAAGTAACTGGATTCTGTATAAATGTATATAATAAAAGCAAAGGCTAATTGTATTTTCTGTGTATCTTTATTTTTCCAGGAGTGTTTTTTCTCTCTTTTATCGAAACACCATGAGTTACAAAGATAATTTTTTTGATGAATTTCAGGCATATCTTGGTCCAGCATCAATCCTTTCACCAGTGCCCACTACCCCCACCAATGTCCCCAGTTTCCCTTCCACCCTCCAGCCTGCCTTTGTGATTTTAATACAAATGGTCATCTGTATTAAAAATTCTGATTTCCTGTTAATTTATGAATTCTATTTTAGTGCCATTTAAATGTGTTGACTATATTGCCAGCTGTGGCCTAATTGCCAGATAAGTTCCTGAAAACATGTATCAATCGTCTAACGATCCTCAAGTGTCTAACAGTAAGTCTCCAGTAGAATGAGGCCCAGGGGACAGTATGGCAGGGCCTGCAAGGCCCTCTTAGGGAAAGCATGACTGCTGAGGGTCTCATTTTCAGTACTCACTGGCCTCTGGAGGCAGGTTCCATTCATGAGAGACAGTCTCAAACTTACGGCATTTGCTTTTCAGTTTATAGTGAGAAACTTCCTTGTCTGTCTGTGGGATGTGTAGTCAGTTAGTCAGTTCTACAGTTTGACATTCCTTGCTTGTGAGAATTTGAATTATATTTAGAAGATGGTTTCCTGAGCCTGGACCTCCCCTGCCCCCTCAGCAGGTTACAGACCCAAATACTGAATAGTCTGGTGATCTGATCATCTAAGTGCCCTTCTCCCCGGCAGGGTTCTGCCTGCACTGTAAGAAACTCCAGCTCATCCTGAGGCCTCCGCTTAGGTGTCATTCTTCCAAGAAGCCCTGATCCATGGGGCTGGGTCAGGGTCGAGGCATGGTAGTAAGAATGGGCTCCATATCAGATTCCACTCTCGGTCCCCATGGGGACAGTGACACAAACAAACCAAAAAAGAGATCGCCACTCAGATCAACAAGCACCGTAGCACTGTAGCGCTGTCCTGCCATTGTTCATCGATTTGCTCAAGCGGGCAGCAGTCTACATTGTGAGACTTGTTGTTACTGTTTTTGGAATACCAAATATGCCACGGGGCTTGCCAGGCTCTGCTGTGCGGGTGCGATACTCTCAGTAGCTTTCTGGGCTCTCTGAGAGAGTCTGAGGAATTGAACCTGGGTCGGCTGTGTGCAAGCTACCCACTGAGCCCCAGATCAACAAGAAATCAAGTAAATCTCCTCTTCTGTGGGAGGAGACCTCGGTTTGGCAGGATGAGGTTCTTGGTGAAGTGGGATGAGGAGCCACGCAGGAGGAGAGAGTGCTCTGTCCTTCCCCTGTGCAAGCGTTTCCCTGAGCAGAGCCCTGAGATTGCAGACAGGTCTTCCGCAGGTGCCCAAGATGACTGAAACTGACCCCACTCATCCCTGCACCTGCTCAATAGTGTCTTCAGGTAGCTTTTCTTCTTCTCTCATCATCTTCACCCACGACCTGTGCATATGCTATTTTGAGTGTCTCATAGTCCAGGAATAGGAAATCAAGGCCTTAATTACTTCTTTTTAGTTTTGACTTGGCTTGCCTCCCCCACTCCCACCTCCCATGCATCATGCTATTTCATGAAAGCTCTTTGGTAAGATTAGAAAATAACTTTTTGGGGTGTTGAAGTTTAGGGTTGTTTGGATCACCCTGTGGTGCTCAATGACTCTTCCTGGCTCTATGCTCAGGAATAACCCTTGGCCGTACTTAGGAGCCATTTATGGTGCCAGGGATTCTAACTAATATCAGTGGGATGCAAAGCAAGTGCCTTCACCCCTGTGCTATTGCTCTGGTCCCAGAAATGCCATTGAATGGTGGGTCTTGAATAGTGGGGTTTGAGTACCACCTCCAGCTTCTAGCATAGTCCCCCAAAATGTACGAAGTGCTTTACTTAGTATTTGTGGAGTCAGCATTGAAGGGCTTGAGGCACATCAATAAAATTTGCCACCCTAATGCATCCTTTTTCTGTTCTAGTAATAATCTGTTTACTCTTACCTTGTTTTCTCTTGCTAACTAGAGCTTAGGTTTTGTCTGGGCTAGGAGTAACATTCTCCCAAGGTAATGGTAATGGTAACTGAACTCATTTTGTATTTACCTTTCTAGTTTATTTCTCTTTTCTCCCTGTCTCTGAAAAGATTGTGTATAGACAGAGAAGTGTAAGATCATGGGGGAGAGATACAGATGGACTCATTCCTCAAAGAGAAACTTTCCTCATTCACTCGCTCTTGGTGTTTCATCAAGAATTCTATCTTTGTTTTCACTTGAGCTGTAAGAACAGACCAGCACAAATTTTTGTTTCTTTTTGTAATTAAAGGATGGAGCGATAGCATAGTGGGTAAGCTGTTTGCCTTAAACGCGGCCGACCCGGGTTCGATTCCTCTGCCCCTCTCAGAGAGCCTGGCAAGCTACCGAGAGTATTCTGCCCGCATGGCAAAGCTTGGCAAGCTGCTTGTGATGTATTTGATATGCCAAAAACAGTAACAACAAGTTTCACAATGGAGACGTTACTGGTTCCCGCTCAAGCAAATCGATGAACAAGGGGAGGACAGTGCTACAGTGCACTGTAATTAAAAGAGTGTGTTGTGATACATCTTTATCTGTCTCCTTCTGCTTTCCTGTGTTAGAATCTGAAGGCAGGATATAAACTTTGGCTGTTTTCTTCTGGGGCTTAGGAAGAGAACCTAAATTCAGTTATCCAACCCACAGTTAAGGAAAACGTTGCTGAGTATATTTATGAGAGCGTGTGTGTGTGTGTGTGTATGTGTGTGTGTGTGTGTGAAACAGAGATTACTGAATTTATTAGAACATTGTATATATTATGTATGCATATACATATGTATAAATAACTGAGTTTAAATGGAAAGGAAGTGACTAGAGGGACTGTTGGGTGGAGGGAAGGGGCCAATTTGATGATGGATGTGGTATTGGAATGATGGATTCATGAATGAAGTATGGAAGGTGTAATTAACAATATTTTAAATCCCAGAACCTCAATATGGTTGAAAGAAAAAAAAAGGAAAAAAATACACTCCCATTGAGGTCTTTGAAACCATTGCTTCTTCTGAGGATTGGGATCCTGTCTGTCTTATTTAACATTCTGTTCTGACTGTTGGTTGAGTACAGCTCAGGAACGAGTGTGTGATTGAATGAGTTCATCTATGGGGCACACAAGCTCCCATAGAATTCCCCTAACTGAATCATTGTACTCTTTGGATTTACTTATAAAATGTAATAATTTGTCAAAAAAAGAGAGCCAGAGGAGCTAAACTGGGAGATCTTTTAAAGATCTGGAGCACATGATTTGCATATTGGAGCCCATATTTTGATATAATTCCTCACCATGTTCCCAGTTTTAGTTCTTGATCTCTGTTCTTTTTCCCCTTTCATTAATTTTAGAGTAACGCAGGTACCACTTTCTAACATACTCATTATGTCAGTGGATTGTTCATGCTCTAAAACAGTTTTATTTGTTTTGGGGAGTCAACCTAGTGGTGCTCAGGACTTATTCCTGATTCTGTGCTCAGGGATCATTCCTGATGGGCTTGGGGGACCATATGTAGTACTGGGGATCATACCTGGGTTGGTTGTGTACAAGGCAAATGCTCTATCCATTGTACTATTGTTTTGACCCCTCTAGACATTTTTTTTCTTTTTAGTTCACAGCCAGCAATTCTCAGGGGTTACTCCTGGCTCTGCATTTAGGAGTTATTCCTGGCGGTACTTGGGGGACCATATGGGATTCCGGGGATCGAATTTGGGTCGGCCTCGTGCAAGGCAACTGCCCTACCCGCTGTACTATCGCTCCAGCCCCCTTCTAGACATTTTTATTTTTCTCCTTTGTGAATCTCTCATACTCTCTGATTTAGTTTGCCATTTTATGTGAAATGCAGCAATGATTGGTTTATTGCTAGAATAAATGTAGTTAAGTTTTCTCTATGAGCTTCTTAATGGGCTCTTGACTCCAAGGTTTTAAGTCACGTTAGGGTTGGGGGACAGTAATAGTTGTCAGGCAAAGCTCATTTGCTCCAATAGTTTCTGAGTCAAGCCTTGACTTTGCTACAGTGAAGCTGTAAATTGAACTCCATAATGAAAAATGTTTAATGCAGGATTTTCAGCCCTTGAGTCACATTTCTCTTCTCTGACTGCATATCATTTACAAGTTTGGTTGTTTGCCAAGTTTAAGGATCACAATTTAGTTTTAGATTTCTTGTATGCTACTTGCTAAGCTGTTTTTATCGTCGGGGTAAGAAATAACTATTTCTGTCTGAGCTTCAAGGACATGTTATGTCCTTGAAGCAACTAAAGACTGGAGATAGAAAACTATTCATTTTTTTTTTCAGTTTTTGTTGTTGTTTTTGTTGATTGGGGCCAAACCTGGCTGTGTTCAGGGCTTACTCTTGCCTCTGTCCTCAGGGATCACTCCTGGCCAGCTCTGGGGACCGTATGGGATGCTGTGGATTGAACCTGGGTTGGCCATGTGCAAGGCAATACCTTACAGAGCTCTATCTGCATTACTATCACTTTGACCACCAAATGTTCATTTATTAATGTGGCAAGAGCCCAGTGAGTTAAGAATTATAGTGTGTTACATGATTTTCACTGATCTCAAAATCCTAGGCTAAGGCCAATGGTGTGGTTCTAGTAATTTAATTATTTGTAATAGAAGTCTGATAGTTAAAGCCTTGAGTCTTCAAAACTGTCTCATAGTTAAGAATAACCTAAGTCGAGTACCTCAGGACTATCATTTTTATTTTCCAAATATTTGTTATTTGTCATCGACTGAAAATATCATGGCTTCATGGAGTATTGCGTTATAATTAAAAAAAAAGTAAATTCAGGCTGCTATCCAACAAGTCAGAACCGGCCTCTTAGAGATGAGAAAACAAATGCAAATTTAGGATTCTCATTTGGTAGTTCTAGAGCTGGGCCCTAGCGTCTTCATTTTCCCATTTAATTAAATCACAGTGAGATACAGTTACAAAGTTGTTCATGATTGGGTTTCAGTCATACCATGTCCCAACACTCACCCTCAACCAGTGTACATTTCCCACCACCAATGTCACCAGTGCCCCCGTTGCCCCTCCCCTCTCAGCCTACCTTGGTAGCAGGCACATCTCTCTCTCTCTCTCTCTCTCTCTCTCTCTCTCTCTCTCTCTCTCTCTCTCTCTATGTTTCTCTCGTTTGCAATACGTGAAGGGTTACCACATTTGTCCCTTTCCCTCATTTCAGCACTCAGTTCCCATCCAGCGTGATCATTTCCAGCCATCGTTGTCACAGTGCTCCCTTCTCTGTCCCCCACCCCCACGGGTGGCAGCTTCCAGCCGTGGGCCAGTCTCCTGGCCCTTTTAACATAGGTTCAGATGCTGCTGCTACTTTGAGCTGGTTTCTCCCTCACACTTGGAGAAAGTGTGCTTGGTGGCAGGGGGATAAACTGGTCCTGAGGAGTGCAGCCCCCTCGCCCTCCAATTCTAGTGTGCCACCCACCCAGGGGCAGGGCCGGGGTGCTGGAGCACCCAGCTACCTGTTGTGGGGAGCACGGGCAGATCTCACATACCTCTTACAGCTCTGAAAGGAGTGAAGGCAGAGGAGAAGGCAGGAAGAGGCAGAGGAGAGGGGCAAGCGGTCAGTGGGCCCGAGTGCACCTGAGCCTCCAGGCAGAGCTGGCCTGAGCCCCGCTGCTCTCCGTTAGGGGCAGAGTTCTTCCTGCCTCTGTTCTCTGATTGGGGGCAGAGTTCTCCCTGCTCTGGGCAGCCCATCTCTGTCTCATCCCAGACCCTCCCTCCACCTGGATTTCAGAGTTACCATGACACTGTGGTTTTGATTGGAAAAATCAAGTATTAAGTACTTGTGTTACTCTAATTTTATTTCTGTTTTACTTTTATTTTAATCTCCCAGGCACTGCTCAGAGACTCTCTGGTCCCACCAGTGATTCCTTTTTTTTTTTTTTTTTGGTTTGCGTTTGTTTTTGTTTTGGGGTCACACCTGGGGGTGCTAAGGGCTTACTCCTGGCTCAGCACTCAGGGATCACTCCTGGTGGACTCGGGGAACCATACGGGATGAAGGGGATCGAACCCGGGTTGTCCGCATGTGAGGCAAAAGCACTCTCTTCTGTACTAATCGTTCCAACCCTCATGACCCCACCCATAGTTCTTGGTCAGTGTGAATGGACCTGAGGATTTTATGCCACTGGTGCCCTGGGGATGCAGGGGGATGACTCAGGCCACCAGGGCACACCTGGAGATGTGGGAGGTGGGCCATGGGGTGCTGGGGCTCTAACTCAGGCTCAGCAGTTGCCTTGACTGCTGAACTGCACCCCCCCCCCCCCCAGTTTCTCTCATTTGAAATGAGTTTCACTTTAGATGCTTTTTCTTGTTTCAAAAACCTTTAAGGGGCTGGGGTGAGAGTACAGCAGGTAGGGCATTTGCCTTGCATGCATCCGGTCTGGGTTCAATCCACGGCATCTCATATGTTCCCCCAAGCACTGCCAGGAGTAGTTCCTGAGTGCAGAACCAGGAGAAACCCTTGAGCATTGCCGGGTGTCACCCAAAAAGCAAAACAAAACAAAACAAAAACTTTTAAAACTTTAAGCTTCCTGCAATGGCAAAAGAATGACAAAATTTATTAAAAAAATATATATATATACACATATATCTGTGAAGAGGATCGGTTTCCTCCAGTCTTTTCCTCGGTTGAGTGAAACTCAGGGGAGGGTTTTGCTCTGTGCCCTCATCCTCCCCGCATGCCAAGTGTGGGGCAGATGCCCAGTACGTGAAATCCTGAGTGTTGACTTGCTCCCCGGTCTCAGTGCTTATTTTCTCTTCACTCTCTAGATGTTTACTCTTTTCAAGAAGAGGAGCCTGTTTCGGATCCTCACTTGGCCACGCACTTAGCACATTTTGGAATCGATATGCTTCACATGCATGGGGTGAGAAGGTGTCTCGTCTATTTTGCCAACTCCGGGGGAGGGAACGGTTGGGCTTAATTAAGTTCACTCCTTTCGCAGGAATCTTCATTTGACCGTTATAGGTTCCAGTGTGTACATTTCCTTCCTGAATGCAGTGAACAATTCCTTGTGATGTTGAATGTTTGGAGGTTTTAATAAAAAGAAAAAGAATGGTGCCTAACCACGTTTGATTTGGTTTGGTTTTGGTTGGGATTTACGTATAAAAATGCCTGCCTCACTGGATGGAGACTTGCATGAGTCACTCTTGGGTCACTGAGGGAGAAGGTCCAGGGAGGTGACCTTTAAAATGATCTGGGGCCAGCATCATTTTAATTAATTTCAGGAAGGTGGAAAGAGTAATCCAGCACATTCTTGTTGAGGGGAGAGCTTTGCCGCGTTTTTTTTTTCCTTTTTGGGTCACACCCGGCAATGCACAGGGGTTACTCCTGGCTCTGCACTCAGGAACTACTCCTGCAGGTGCTCGGGGGACCATATGAAATGCTGGGAATCGAATCCAGGTCGGCTGCATGCAAGGCAAATGCCCTACTCGCTGTGCTACCGCTCCAGCTCTGCTTTGCTGCATTTTATTGTGCTTTCACCTGGCTAGCTTGACTGAGTCTCATTTTTCTCACTGTGTGTGTGTGTGCTTTCTTTCCAACTCTCTCCTATTCTTTTGTATCTCCTCTTGCCCACTCACGTCCACTTTTGCTCTGATTCCTTCCACATTTCTTTAAACCTCCCTCCTATTTTACAGCTTCCCCCAGCTCCACGCCCCCACCCGTCCGCCACTTTTCTCTTCAGACACTTTGCTTTTTCACGTGCTGACTGCCTTTGGAATTATCCCACTTGCTTCTTTATTTTCACCGCCCTGTTTGGCTTTCTCCCCCTTCCTGTCTCCTTTCCTCTCAGTGTCTTTTGCTTTTAAGAATTCCAAGAATAGGTTTCATTTGTGCATTGTGGCAGGATCTCTAGAACCCAACATTTGCATTTCTGTCTACTTAGGTCTGCACTTCTGTGGCCTGAAACCCATTCGCATCGCTGGGCTCCTCACCTGCGCTTACAGACTTAAGTTATTTCCATGGTTAAGAGTGGGGAGGGGAGCAACAGTATCATTGCTGCCAGGAATGATGCAGAGAATATGATCTTGGAGTGCGCATCATGGTTAACAGTTTCGTTCTTCAATGGCTTTGCTGCAGACGGAGAATGGACTCCAGGACAATGACATCAAGCCGAGGGTCAGTGAATGGGAGGTGATTCAGGAGACGGGGACAAAGCTGAAGCCCATGTATGGCCCCGGGTACACAGGCCTCAAGAACCTGGGCAACAGCTGCTACCTCAGCTCTGTCATGCAGGCCATCTTCAGCATCCCTGAGTTCCAGCGAGCGTAAGTCCCTCGTCCCTTCCTTCCCCTGAAGACCTGGGCACAGGAAACACTTTTCTTCCTCCAGGCTTGGTTCATCTGCCTGTACTGGGGGAGCCCATTTACTTTTGGCTCAGAACCTTTTCCCATATCATCCTCATTCCGTTCTTGTGCCTAGTCTGGGTGGGAACATTTGTCAGGTGCTACGGCCATCTGGGAAGAGGAGAGCTTTGTAACCCTGAGAAGCTGCCAGGGTTGCTAGTAATGGCTGGCTCTGGAGACCATCATGCTTGACCAGAGTCAATTCATCATTCATCTTTTTTTTTTCTTTTTGGGTCACACCTGGCGATGCACAGGGGTTACTACTCCTGGCTCATGCACTCAGGAATTACTCCTGGTGGTGCTGGAGGACCAGATGGGATGCTGGGAATCGAACCCGTGACGGCCGCGTGCAAGGCAAACGCCCTACCCACTGTGCTATCCCTCCAGCCCCTCATCATTCATTTTTATGGCCACCCTGCCCTAGCATAAGTGGAGAGATTCAACCAGTCAGTTGGTCAGTGTTGCCCTGCCGGAGAGGGGGTTTTCATAGCGAACATGAGATTTTCATTTATTTTGAAACTCAAAATGTGGGTCCAGCTGGTGCCATTCCTTGGACCTCTAGGTTAATGCCATGAGGCAGAAATGGAAATGGAGCGGACTTGGACAGGGCCGTGGTTTGATAAGTGGGATTTTGCTTTTCTAGTGATCGATGCTTATTGAGTTCTCTGGGGATGTCAACTAAATGAGTTGAAATAAGTCCCCACACTGGCCCCTCTCTGTTCCTGGGAGTGTCCTGGCCTCGTGTCCTCCTCGCTGAGCTTCTGTGAGACTGCTTTCTCCGCAGAGCCAGGGTCAAGGACAGTGTCTGGGTTGCTCTCTTCCTTAGATTGTCCTTAGGCCAGGCAGTGCAGACCCCCGGGCCCTGGCTTGTGCGCTGGCCGACAGCGCCACCTACCTGTAGAAAAGTGGAGGTTTCCGAGTACGTTTTCCCGTGGCTCAGAATGGAAGAGGATGCGCGGGTGAGAAGGCAGACAGTCCCCTGGCTGCAGCGAGCCAGTTTTCACCGCGATGGAATGGAAATGCTAATTGATGTATTAGAAGTAATTAGTAAAAGGTATATTAGGTATATATTTTATAGAGTTGGTTTTTGGATCACACCTGGCTGTGCTCAGGGCTTACTCCAGACTCTGTGCCCAGGTGTCACCCCTCGAAGGGCTCAGAGGACCATATGTGGTACCAAAATTGAACCCAGATTGCCCACATGCATGCAAAGTGAGACTCTACCCTCTGTAATATCTCTCTAGCCTCTCTCTCTCTCTCACTCTCTCTCTCTCTATCTTTTTCTCTCTCTCTCTCTCTCTGTCCCACCTGGCGGTGCTCAAGGCATACTCTTGGCTCTGTGCTCAGGGATTGCTCCCAGCCATGCTTGAGGGACCCTATACAGTGCTAAGGATCAATTTGGGGTTGTTAGTGTGCAAGATAAGCACCCTACTTTCTCTACTATCTCTCTGGCCCCAGTTTCCCGACTTTGGGCATCTGTGGTCAGTTTTCCACCCATTTTTCTTTTCTCTTTTGCATTGTCACGGAGGCAGAAAGAGTGGGACCGCTCTGCCCAGTGGGGTGCTGGGGTGGCATTCAGAGGTAACAGAGGACATGTTCCAGACTGGGGAAGCAGGTGTTAAATGTATAATAGCATAATAGACAAATGTACTAATGCATGATAGAACAGCTGGAACCTCATAAAGCTGATCGGTTCCATGAAGAAAAAGGAGGGAACGTGGACAGGGTGGATTTTGAAGACTGGACACATCGGGGGACATCCTGCCTGGCTTGTGTGCAGGAGCAGAGGGGACAGAGAGCCCCAGGCAGATGGGAGTATGAGTTTGAGACCCTTAGATGGGGAAGCCTTTCCAAAGCTGTCTGTGTTGTTTTATCATATGAGTTTTATGATCTATATGAGAAGTTTATGACTTAAACATGCTTAGCCATGTCTGATATGTGTATTACCATTTGACTGAGGACCAGGCTAGCTTCATTTTATGTGCTGCATGCACCAAAATTTCTTTTTCCTTTTTGTGGGGAGATCTTCCTGCGGTGCTTGGGGGCCCAGGGGCTCATTTCAGTGCTACCCCCCACTGGAGTGAGTGTAGACCTTATGGTTTTGTGCTGACAACTGGCACTGCTGGGGTGAGGGCTGCACCCAGTGGTACCAGGGCTCGAATTGGGGATGGCAGCTTGCAAGGCAAATGCCTTGGCTCTGGTTCTATCTCTCTGGACTCATAAGAGGAGAAACTGTTGTTTTGTTTTGGGGCCACATCCAGCTGTGCTCAAGGCTTACTTTTCACTCTGTGCTCAGGGATCACTCTCGGTAGGCTCAGGGCACCATAAGGGGTGCCAGAGATTGAACCCAGGTTGACCATGTGCAAAGGCAATCACCCTACTTGCTGTATTATTATTTTTGCCCAGAAAGGAACTTCCTTTTTTTTTTTTCTTGTGGAAAATCTTCCAGCAGATTTTTTCTTGCAGGGGTGGTGGTGGTGGGACATCCCTCTGAAGCTTCTCCTGGTCAGTCTTGACCAACTGGGACCATGTGGTGTTGAGGATTGAACCAGTGTCAGCTGCATACAAGACAAGTACCTTAACCCTGTTGTGTTACTATGCCCTCGTCTTTTCTTTGATTCTGAGACTGAGATGTTGGGTCTGTAAGCCACAGGCCCCTTCTCCCTAGCAGACCTACCTCAGTGGCTCTGGGCCCCGGAGCGCTGTCTCCATTTCCTAAGTAGAAAGTGACTCATAGACAGATTAAATGACTATTATACAAGCACATTGTCATTTGGGAGCGTCAGTCTGACTCCCCGATAGACTGCTGCCGGAACCCAGTTTATAAGTCAAAATAATTTTGATGATCAAATATCAGTAAATCAGTGTACAAATTTAGTCACAACTAGAGATGGATTATAAGAGAGCAAAACTCTCTTTTACCCTTTTATAGAATTTCTAGATAATATATTAAAGGTATTATAAGGGCTAAAAAAGCCTCCTTATTTTAAAAATAAATTAAAAAATTTTTTTTAAATTCTGTGGTATCAGAGAATATTTATCATCAATTTGAATATTACTAATAAAAATTACTAATATTTGAATATTACTAATAATTGAATATTATTAATAAAATAGTCTATCCTGGCAGCAAGGAGTTACCCTCTGTTAACTCTGTTTCTACTCCACTGGTTTTGCTGCAGAAGTAAAAGACTTTTTAATTAATGTCTTTTAATAATGACTTTTCCCAGGAAGGTGTTTCTTATTTTTGGGTTTGTTAGGTCTTCTTTTTTTTTTTGGCTTTTTGGGTCACACCCAGCGATATTCAGGGGTTACTCCTGACTCTGCACTCAGGAATTACTCCTGGTGGTGTTCGGGGGACCATATGGGATGCTGGAAATCGAACCCGGGTCAGCCGCGCGCAAGGCGAATGCCCTACCCACTGTGCTATCGCTCCAGTCCTGGTTTGTTAGGTTTTAAGATACGATTGAGGTTGGGTCGTCAGAGAGTTTCTGAGTTTGTCATGCTGGGTATGATTGAGAGTTCTTCAGTGCAGTCTCTGGATGTCGATACTTTGGTTCTTAGTTTGGTTTATCAGTTATTTGGATCTCGCTCTCTTAATAATTGTTAGATGTAATTATTACTCGGGACCTTTCCAAACACCTTTTCAATAAGACTTAATTTGTGAGTGCGTCTCTGCAGGGTGTGTTGACTGGACAGAGAGTTTGTGGTTTTCTTAGGGGACCCGGAGCTCGGGCAGGAACAGCAGGCAGTGGGGTGCAACGTAGCTTGGAGCCCGGCTGCCTGGACCACATTGGGCTCTGTCCCTCCCTCTCGGTGATGTTGAAAATTGCCTGATTCCTCTCATCTCTGTTTCTCATCTCTTCAGTGGAGTGACCATAATAATCCCCACTGCAGTTGTAGTAAAGACTCAACAGACTGCCAACTGCCATCCTTACTGTGATTGTCATTTCTATTTCTTTTGGCACAATCGGCCACTTCCTAATTAACTTCACTATTTGTTTTTGTGGTTGGCAGTTGTGAATAATAAGCCAGCAGGCTTTGGCCATACCTGACAAGGCTCCAGGGATTTCTCTTGGCTGTTCATGCAGCAATTACGCCTGGCTGTACTTGGGGATACCGGGAATCCAACCCCGGTTGTCTGCCTGTAAGGCAAGCACCCTCTCTGCTGTATTATCTCTCCAGCCCCTTTAAAAAAAATTTTTTTTTTTGGTTTTGGTTCTGGACCACACCCAGCAATGCTCAGAGCTAATTCCTGGCTCTGCACTCAAGGATCAGTTCTGGTGGGCTCTGGGGACAATATGGGGTACCAGAGACTGAACCTGGTTTGGCCGCATGCAAGGCAAAAAAAAAAACCTTACCCACCGTACTATGGCTTCGACTCTATAAATCAAGGGTTCTTGACGCCAGCTCTGTGTTAGAATCACTTGCAGAACTTTAAAAAGTTTCCACACCCGGGGCTGGACAATAGCACATTGGGTGCAGTGTTTGCCTTGCACGCCGGCAGCCGACCTGGGTTCGATTCCCAGCATCCCATATGGTCCTCTGAGCACTGCCAGGAGTGATTCCTGAGTGCAGAGACAGGAGTAATCCCTGAGCATCGCCGGGTGTGACCCAAAAAGCTTAAAAAAAAGTTTCCAAACCCCAGCTCTGAACTCTATGCAATGAAATCAGAACATCTGGGGCGACTCTGACTTTGGCTATTTTTAAGAGACTCTTTAGGTCATCTGACTTGCTCCCAGGCCGGAGACTCATTGATTGAAAGGCAATATTTTAGGGAGATTCATGAGGCACTGCAGAGGCAGCATCTCAGGAAGATTTTCGCTTCAGGTAGAGGTTTTATTTTGATAGTAAGGGAAGAAGGTCTTTGTGAGAAGGATGATTATTTTGCTTCCATTCTCTTAGTTCCTGTGTTGTGACTGTTGCTTGTTACTTTTTAGGTATGTAGGAAATCTTCCAAGAATATTTGATTACTCTCCTTTAGATCCTACGCAAGATTTCAACACACAGATGCAAGTACCAATTGCAAGGTTGCGGGATGGGTGGGGGGCGGCAATGGGGTTGGGGGGATGGAGGCAGGGGGGGAGGCTTCTTTAATAAAATGTGCAGAATGTTTATTTCTGAGTTTCAGCATTAAGGCAATTCTCTTTTCTTCTTTATTTTCCTTTTTAAAAGAGCATTCAAAAGTGATAAGTGTTCTTATTTTTCTAAGAATAAAGAACTAGAAATAATCTCAGTAGTGCTGAGGACATTAATATCAAGCTCAACCAGCCCATTTGGGAATTACTGAGATAAAATGTTTCACCTGAAAGCAAAGTGGGCTGATTTAGATGTATTGATAATTTTATTATGCCTAAGGGTAAGGCAGCAGTGACCTTGTATTGTGTCTCTCATCCAGGACTAAATTGGGACATGGCCTTCTCTCAGGCCAGTATTCAAAACCTCCTGTGAAATCTGAACTCATCGAACAGGTGATGAAGGAGGAACATAAGGTATGTGTGTGACAGGTAGGAAGGAGGGAATCTCTGCTAGCCAGAAGGTGGGTTTCCTGTGCTTCGGCAAACGATGACTATAAGTTTAGGATGGCAGTTTCATTGGTCTGGGGTATCTGTCTCCATGATCTTAGAGATTATGGTGAGGAATAGCCAAGCAGGGGTTTGTGACATAGTGGTTTCATGGATAATATGTGAATTCCATTATTAAAGGGTCTCAGAAACTCTGTCTCTCATTCACGAGCACGGTCACGATCACGACCATCCTGTTATTCGTCAATTGCCTCGAGCAGGCCCCAGTAACGTCTCCTTTGTCCTAGCCCTGAGATTTTTAAAAAAGTGCCATATTCAAGGCTATTTCAGAGTTAGGAGAATGAGACCCTTCATTGTTACTGGTATTTGGCATATTGGGTACGCCACGGGGAGTTTGCCAGACTCTGCCGTGTGGGCAGGTTACATTCTGTCTCTCATTAAAAAAAAAAAAAAAGGTCAAAATTGATGGAAGAAGTTTTTCATGAATATTAACATTTTCTCCTGATAATACAATCTTGGCTCTTTCTAAATCTCAACTTTGTTTGCTAAGACTTTTCTAATTGGTCATAAACCACAAATGGTTCTAGCTGACCCTAGTGTTTAGGATTCGAAGATTCTGGGAAACTCTCACTTTTGGTGAACTACCAGGGTAATCACACTAAAGTCTGAGAAACTCACTTGACCATTCAGCCACCATGAATAGATTTGGGACTGGAGAGGTCCTACAGCAAGGAGGGTGCTTGCCTTGCATGGAGCTTGATCCCTGGCACCACATTTGGATCCCCAAACCCTGCCATCTGTGATCCCTGGTTACAGAGCCAGGAGGAAGCCCTGAGCACAGTTGGGTGTGGCTCAAAAACAAACAATAGATAAGAGTAATTTAAATATATATATTCCCCTCCTACCAGCTGTTCTTGCATTTCACTTCCTATGCCTGTCGGGTGTTGGGTGGGCCACTGACCCTCCCTGGCTGCCATCACAGCTCCAGCACTTGCTACTTACAACCTGATTTTTTTTTCTTTTTTGGTCACACTTAAACCAACCGTTCTGTAGAAGGAGAGCGAGGATGGAGAGGAGATAAGTGCCTGTTCATAAAGATGCCGGCTTGCTGGAGAAATGGTGCAAAAAGGAAAGGGAGATTATGAAGGGAGCATTTGGAGGTGGTATTGGGCACAGGGAAAGAAGGGAGGTGGGTGGAAAGGTAGGCAGTTTTTTTTGTTTTTTGTTTTTTTGCTTTTTGAGTCACACCCGGTGATGCACAGGGGTTCCTCCTGGCTCTGCACTCAGGAATTACTCCTAGCCGTGCTCGGGGGACCATATGGGGTGCTGGGAATCGAACCCAGGTTGGCCGCATGCAAGGTAAATGCCCTACCCGCTGTGCTATCGCTCCAGCCCCCTTGGCAGTCATTAAATTAAACATTTTTATCTTGGAGCTGGGACATGACTCAAAGTGCACATGCTCTGCTTGTGGGAGCCCCGGGTTCAGTCCCTGGCACTCGTGGTCTTTATGAAAAACCAGGAATAATCTCTGAGTACCATTCTAAAACAGCCCTTGAGTAACTCCAGGTATGGGCCCCAAATAACCTACCTTCCTCCTCCCTTCAAGAAAAAAACCTAAAATTAATATGAAGACTTTTTCACTGACACAGCATTTCATTATAATGTGATGTTTCCTGTGTATATCATCATTCATGACCATCTCTATGTACTGCATTAGGATCATCACTAAAAGTCTTTCACTATAAATCCGAGCCCTAATTCCTAGTTACATCTTCTTCCCTCTTTCCTCTGGTAGCACTGTAGCACTGTAGCACTGTCCTCCCATTGTTCATTGATTTGCTTGAGTGGGCACCAGTAATGTCTCCACTGTGAGACTTGTTACTGTTTTTGGCATATCGAATACGCCACAGTGAGCTTGCCAGGCTCTGCCGTGCGAGTGGGATACTCTCAGTAGCTTGCCGGGCTCTGAGAGGGACGGAAGAATCTAACTCAGGTTGGCCGCGTGTAAGACAAATGCCCTACCCGCTGTTCTATGGTAACCAATAATTTTATTTTACAGAGCAAAATATTTTTTATTTTTATTTTAGCTCATTCATTCATTTTGTTTCTTTTTTGTACCACAGGTGAGTGGAACCATGTAGTGTTGTCTCTCTGACTCATTTTACTTATTTTACTCAGCACAATGTCTTCTAGCTCCGTTTATCCTGCTGCAAAGGGCAGGGTTTAATATTTTTGTTTTTGTGTTTTTCTGGGGGTGGGGGAGGCACATCCAGCAGTGCTCAAGGGTCACTCCTGGCTCTGTGCTCAGAAATCAGGAATCTGAGTTTTTTGCTTTTTTTTTTAATGGCTCTATTTTTACTTTTTTTGAGGTACTCTTTATTGCACTCTATAATGGCTGCTCTAATTTACATCCCACCTTTAGTGAACAAGGGTTCTTTTCATGTGGAGGGGGCTTCCATGCTTGCTCAGGGGGCCGGGACCTCACTGGTGATTCTTAGCCAACCACACTGACATTTCAGTTCAAAGACCCACAAACCATGAGGTGCTTGGACTTGAACCCAACTAGGCTCATGCTTCACAAGCATTCCAAACACCGTCCTCTCTCCTGGCTCCAGAAAAAATTATCTAACATGGTTCAGACACATCACATTTTCAGTCTATGAACAGAGACTGCTTTGGACTGTTGCGTCTACCCTGCCTTTGGATTTAGTGACCTTTGAGCTGTCTGTCTGTGACCTTCAGGGCCCTGAGCCTTGCCAGTGGAGCCCCTGCTCTGCCAGGCTCCAGGGGTAACCTGGAGCAGACGGGCCATAGCAAACCTGCACGTGTTTGCTTGGCACTGAATCTCCACCTTCTCTGAAACACTGTTTTTTTTTTTTCTTTTTGGGTCATACCTGGCGATGCACAGGGGTTACTCCTGGCTCTGCACTCAGGAATTACTTCTGGCGGTGCTCAGGGGACCATACGGGATGCTGGGAATTGAATCCAGGCCGGCCGCATGCAAGGCAAATGCTCTACCTGCTGTGTAATTGCTCCTGACCCTGAAACACTCTTTTTGTTTTGTTTTTACTTGAGGGCCATACCTGGTAGTACTCAGGGCTGACTTTTACCTCTTGGTCAGGGTTCATTCCTGGTGGCGCTCAAAGAACCATATGGAGTGTCAAGGACTGAAAGGAGCTTGGCTGCGTGTAAGCTCGAGCCCTACCTGCTGGACTGTCACTCCGGGACACTGGGACTGTGTGGCAGTGGCAGGCCGTGTGGGAGACTTTGTTGGCTGCCCTTAGTCACAGCCGTCCCTTTGCCCGGCACATATAGTCCCAGGCTGGCTGCCATCTACCTGGGAGTCATGACCTGGCTGGGACACTGGGTATCTGAAGGGGTGAACCTTGATCTAGGGGATACGTAAAATCCTTGCCTGTTCCGGGTGCCATGATCTAGCTGTCTTGAAGAAAGATGTTGGATATGTGGCATAAAGCAGGTCCTAGCGGGGGTCGGGGGGGGGGAGGCATATCCAACAGGGTGGGTAATGAGAGGGTCTTCCATTCACTGAGACTCCTTTACCATTCAAGGGAGAGCTGGAATGGGCAGTCCAGCTTTCATCGTGACCCTCGAGATGTTGATCTCAAGTTGTTACCTGAATATGTCATCCCTAGGAAAGTCTGAAGACAGCCGGCTGTTTCAGAGGAACAGTACGGAGAGCATATTTCTTTTCCCAGGGAGCAGGGTCCCTGGTCAGGTGGTCTCGCCTCTGGCCTTCGCTCAGGCCTCTGGCGTTTGCAACTTTGATGAGCCTGAAATGCTCAGAGTGGAAAGGAACTGTGTAGTTGCAAAGAAGGGGCTCTGTTAGGAAAGGAATGTGGAGGGGAGGAGACGGAGCATGGAGAGGGGCAGGGCTGTGTGGTGGGAATACCATAGGAGTGTTCCACACCACTACCAAGGACACCAGTAACGACTCAGTGCTTCTGAAAGGCTGGGCCTTGCCTGCCTGTGCACGGAAGCAGGAACTGATGCAGAACCATGGGTCACACGACCGAAGGGTCACAAAGCCTCTGAATGGCTTTGCTATGATTTATGCCCAGAAAGTCTGTGCCTTTTTTCCATCTCACATTCATACACTCACGTACCATCCTGGGCCCTAATAGTTGTTTTAGTTTTTTTTCCTGCTCCTTTGGTCACACCCAGCGATGTACAGGGGTCACTCCTGGCTTTTCACGCAGGAATTACCCCTGACAATGCTCAGGGGACCGTGTGGGATGTTGGGAATCGAACCTGGGTTGACCATGTGCAAGGCAAACGACCTACCCGCTGTGCTATCCCTCCAGCCCTGCTTTAGTATTTGTTTTAGGCACCATTGTGGCAGTGTGTGGGTTACCTTAGATGGTGCTAGTATCTTGGTTTTATCAACTCTGATTTATAACTCAGGTCATTTCTAGAACATATGGTTCCTGGTATTAAGTTGTTCTGCTAGAAACCAAGATGAACTAGGTTTTTGGTTGCTTTTGGTTTGGGAGTTATACCTGGCAGTGCTCGGAGCTTACTGTTTGGTCCACACTCAGGGATCACTCCTGGTGGGCTTGGGGTACCATAGATAGTGCCAGGGATCAAACCCGGGTTGACTGCATCAAGGTAAACGCCCTACCTACTGCACTATCCCTCTGGGCCTCCTGTAACATCTTAAAGTGAGTTTTCGAAATGTAAGTAATAGTTTGGGGGAACGTCCTCTATTTGTCTGGCAGGAAATTTGGGGTTTGGACCTCGGTTGCAAATGACAACATAAGGGTGTGGTTGATTGAAGGTTAAGGTTCAGTTAGGGGGTGGGGATAGCTGCAGTGGTTGTGCACATGCCCAATATGTGCAGGGCCGGGAGTTTGCTGTCACACCTTGCATGGCTCGCACACCAGCTGTGACCATCCTGGAACTCCTGGTGTCCACCCTCTTGCACCCCACCCAGCACCCCTTGCCCGAGCCTTGACCCTGATCTGTACCACCGCTCTAGTCCAGACTTGTCCAGATTCATGTCAAAGCCTCTGACAGGTTGCTCGCCCCTGAATTCCAGGCTCGAGTTGGTGAGTGCGAGTGGACAGCGGCTGTCTGCTTTCTTGAGACAGCGTTGAAGCAGAGAGCCCGTGGAAAACTCTGGGAAAGATTCTGAACACCATGGGCCTCTCTAATTTGAGCTGATCTGTTTTGCAATTGCTGATTGAGAAAGTAAGTATAGTAGCCTATAAATACGACAGGCTCCTCAGGTGGCTGCTATTTTGGAGGCTGTTGTGGCCTCCCTCTTGTAAAGTTAGCCGGTTGGAAAAACCATACTCCAGGTGCCTGAGATTTGCCCACTGCGAGCGCGTGCTTCCTGAAGGCAGAGCCCAGCGGGGAGACCATGTTGGTGTCTCCCTGTCATGTCCCTGGGCTGACGGGCCTCCCGCAGTCCTCAAGGGATGCCAAGGACCGTCCACCAAAGAGGAGACCTGGCTTCTGTGATTCAGTGTTTTGGGTCTTATTTTAGCATTTTCATTTCTTTTAGGCAATTACCTTATCTAGAGCCTGGACTAAAAAAAAGTATTTAAAATTTCAAGTTCACACAAGGATAGAAAAGAAAAGTACAATGAATCTTTGTACCATTGGGTAGCCTTAGCAATTGCCACCTTGCCAATCGGGTCTCATCAATTCTACGTCAACTCTATGCTTCCTGCTTGCTTCTCTTTCTCTCCTTGCAGTATTTTTATAGTACTTCATTTGGGGGGGCTGGGCCACACATGATGCTACTCAGGACCTATTCCTGGCTCCGTGCTCAGGGATCCTTCCTGGCAGTGCCCTGGGACCATGTATAGTGCTGGAGATGAGTAAGACAGAAGCCTGAACCCTTAGATATCTCAGGGTTTAATCTTAAAATATTCCAGTAGTTTAAGATAAAATTCAGGCATCCTCCTTCATACCCGTAAATATTATTGTTTGCACCTATAATTACAACACTTTCTTTTTTTTTTCTACTTCTATTTTGAAATTTTATCTGAAATTCTTAATTATACATACATAGCCAATTTATTGTAATTAAGCAGGGGAAGATAATAACGTTGGAAGAAAGCTGTCCACTGGATCCTGGACTGAGATGTGGCAAATAGTCTGAATCAAATTTATCTACAAAGGGTGTATCTCTTTCTGTTATCAGACCTTTATAATAGAAAATTAATCTTGAGATTAGGTTACCTGAAACCTGAAGTCTAATCAAAAACTTTGTTAAACTTTTATTGATTTATTACATTTAATCACATAAAAATTTTTATAAATTTACAGAATTTGTTCAGGAATACTGCAAAAATAACTACAGCTGTTAAACACTAACAGTATGCAACATTGACAGGAAACCACGTGGAGGGAGAAAGATCTAATTGAACTCTAGTTATTATATAATGCCTTTGAACATTATCTGCTTTTCAATAAAAACAATATTGTATGTGGAAGGAGAAGGGAAACACAGCCCATACAGGGTGGGTGGGGGTGGAGGAAGCAGTAAATAACAGAAGCTGAGGGAGGCAGCCAGTTTCTGCTGCCTTTGGGTATTTGTTCTACCCCTACTGCCAACTTTTCAGAATTTACTGGCTTGTTACTGTCCTCATTCCCCTGACCCTGAAAGAACCCCCAATATGCCATTGGGCTACACTGTTACATGACAGGGACGAATGGAGACATTGCTGGTGCCTGCTCGAATAAATCGATCAACAACGGTGATGCAGTGATACTGGGTTGTTGAACTTTCTCCAGCAGCTGCTTTGCCAGGATGGGCTGCCCATCAGGCTGGGCTCTCTTCCTCCCTGGTGCATCTCTGGCCTGCCCTACGATCAGTGCCATTGGGTCATTTGTGCCAGGGAGGGGCCTCTTTTAGAAAGTGCTCTACCATCCTTGTTATTGTCGAATCATTTCCCTCAGTCTCAGGCCACATGAAGAGGCCCACCCTGCATCCATATGGATTCACAGCGCAGTGCCTGGTGCAGACGAACCCTCTGATGATCATTGGTTTTTATCAGTGTTGAGTGTCACTTTTATTCCTGGGGTTGGGAGGAGGCTGAGGATATTCCTCAGAGGAGATAGCGCAGTGCGTTGATGCTGGGGCTGTAATTCATACTTATTAAAATAAACTCAAGAAGCTCACGGTTGGGAGGGGAGATGTGTGCAGAAAGTGGATAAAGGACCAAACATGATAACCTCTCAGTGTCTGTATTGCAAACCATAATGCCCGAAAGTAGAGAGAGATGATGGGGAATCATGTTTGCCATGGAGGCAGGGAGAGGGTGGGAAAGGAGGGTATACTGGGGATATTGGTGGTGGGGAATGTGCACTGGTGGAGGGACGGGTATTTGGATCATTGTGTGATTGTAACCCAAACATGAAAGCTTGTAACTATCTCACGGTGATTCGATAAAATTAAACATAAAATACATTCAAGAAGCTTCAAGAAAAACTGAAGGTGACCTACCTCCAGATCCAGGAGGACCTTAGATCCTCCTGGTCCTCTTCAGCCTGTGCTGCACCGACCAGTCCCAGGCCTAGAAATTTCCTAGTGTTCCACCAAAATTATCCCCCCAGTCCTGAATCAGCTATGCAGTGGCAGGTGTCACACTAGCTGAAAACTGACTTTTTTTTTCCTTTTTGCATCTCACCTGGTGAGGCACAGGGATTACTCCTGGCTCATACACTCAGGAATTACTCTTGGTGGTGCTCAGGGGACCATATGGGATGCTGGGAATTGAACCCGGGTTGACTGCGAAACGCCCTACCTGCTGTGCTATCACACAGCCCCCAAACTGACATTTTTATAACATCGGATTTAATAAATAAAATCTTATCCAAAAACTATCACCCCCCAAAAAAATGACCCTCAGAAAATTCAAGAAGAAAGGGAAGTAATGGGCAAAGCGGGGGGGTTGGGTCTTCAATTATACTGGTGAGTGGGAGAATGGTATAGTTACATAGACAAAACACAACCCAACAACATGGAAAGCCTGAGAGCCAAGCTGCAGCCACCGAACCTTGTCAATGTGCCGGTCAAGTTGACAGGCTGGGACTGGGGAGGGGATGGGGTTGGGGTGGAGTATGGGGACACTGGTGGGGGGAAGTTGACACTGGTGGTGGGATTGGTGTTAAAATATTGTACACCTAAAACTCAACTATCAGTACTTTGTAAGTCATAGTTCTTTCATTAAATGAAAAAGTATTAAAAAGTTAGAACTAAAACATGTTCAGCTGTGCGTCAAAAGCATATTCAGTTGTGAGAGTCCCCAGTGGTTCGCACCTGTGTCAGCGTGTAAAAGGGTTGGACCACAGGCTCTGTGTGTGCAGGGTTCTGGGTTCTATCCCTGGCACTGCATTGACTCCTGAGTACTGCTGAGTGTAGCCCTGTTGCCCCCAAACCCTACCCTGGCACCTCTGGGGAGGTTCCTCCACTGAAAAAAGCATAAACAAAACTAAACAAAAAGTGAGTTTTCTCAAGTGACAGTTGGGGTTTACAGTAATCTCTGTTCTGCTAGGGGCTTAGTGCTTTGAAATGCGCGGCCGTGTGACAAGGCGGCTTTATGTTTGTCTTAGCCTCAGCAGAATGGGATCTCCCCACGCATGTTCAAGGCCTTCGTGAGCAAGAGCCACCCGGAATTCTCCTCCAACAGGCAGCAGGATGCCCAAGAGTTTTTCTTGCACCTGGTGAACCTGGTTGAGGTAAGTCATTCTCCAGGGACTGTAGGAAATGTCCCACGCCCCTGAGTGACGCCACCCTGGTCTGGCGAGCTTGAGGACCCCCTTCTCACCTCCACGCCCACCCTCCAGAACATCTTCTTGGGGGTCTCTGTCCTTGCTCAGGAGCTCATGGGTCTCCTACTGTGTATGGGTTCAAGGAGTGCCTGGCAGTTCCGGCATTCAGCTTCTTTTTTTTTTTTTTTTTTTTTGGTCACATTCGGTGGTGCTGAGGGATTACTTCAGGCTCTACACTCAGGAATTACTCCTGGCAGTGCTCAGGGGCCCATATGGGATTCTGGGAATTGAATCCGGGTCGGCCGCATGCAAGGCAAATGGGCCCTACCCGCTGTACTATCCCTCCAGCCCTCATTCAGTGTCTTTTATTTTGGTCTCCGTGACCAAGTTCCTTGAGTGTCCCCTGTGTTTTTTTAATTTTTAACTTTTTGCTACCCTCCAGCTGGGCTGGAGCCATAACACAGCAGGTAGGACGTTTGCCTTGCACGAGGCTGACCCAAGTTCGATTCCTCTGTCCCTCTCGGAGAGCCCGGCAAGCTACTGAGAGTATCCCGCCCACAGGGCAGAGCCTGGCAAGCTCCCCGTGACATATTCGATATGCCAAAACCAGTAACAGCAAGTCCCACAATGGAGACATTACTGGTGCCTGCTCAAGCAAATTGATGAACAACAACGGGAGGACAGTGCTACAGTGCTACCCTCCAGCCACCACCCTGAGGTCACTCAGCACACAGTCACTGTCACGGTCCTCCCGTTATTCATCGATTTGCTCGAGTGGGCCCAGTAACATCTCTATCATGAGACTTGTTACTGTGTTTGGCATATCGAATACATCACGGGTAGCTTGCCAGGCTCTGCCGTGTGGGCGAGATCCTCTCGGTAGCTTGCCGGGCTCTCCGAGAGGGGCAGAGGAATCGAACTCGGGTCGGCCATGTTGGCCGCTTGTAAGGCAAACGCCCTACCGCTGTGCTATCGCTCCAGCCCTCTCAGCACACACCACGGTCAAATTACATTCAATGCTGCTGGCTTTAGAAGGCACAGACACTCATGACATAAAATTTATTCCCCCATCACAACCAGTTATGCTCTCACACCTCCACCCTATGATCAGAATGTTCTTTGTGTAACACACAGAAGGACACAAAGAAGAATACCAAAATCCACCCCCTCCCGCCGCCCCCCACCCACAACAGCCCCTACAGTCCGCAGTGGGGATGTTTTGCTGCATTTGTTAACTTGTTTCATGCTGTTGAGTGAAGCAGTGTTTTCCCCTGATCTCTTGTGAATGTTTTGCAAAATCGCTGCATATTCAGAATAGCCTGATTTATCTTTAATTCATATATCACAACTGCACTTAGATAATCATCCACAGGCCTTAATTTTTTCCAAGGCAGCTCCTAAATTTACCCCTTTTCTTTGGCTCCCTTATCCCTGTTCTTCTAATTCTATCCAGCCAGTCCCTCCCACTTGACTTTTAATGACGGCTTAATATTAATTCACAGCATGAATATAATTTTTTTTAACCAGGCCTTGGCTTTGGGACAGTAGATGAATGACAGTGTTTTTCTGTGGAAGCAATTGCCAATGGCTAGTTTTAGCTAGTAATATGAGATCTTCACATCAGATGTTTGATTTGAAGCAGCTTTTTTTCATGGCTTAATAGTCATACATGTACTCACACGATGTCATCCCATCTCCAGAGGAACCGCATTGGCTCTGAAAACCCAAGTGATGTTTTCCGGTTTCTGGTGGAAGAACGTATCCAGTGCTGCCAGACCCGAAAAGTCCGCTACACGGAGAGAGTGGATTACCTGATGCAGTTACCTGTGGCCATGGAGGCAGCGACCAACAAGGGTACCAGTTCCAAAGTGGGAAATGAGCCACATGGGGCATTATTCACAATTCAAGCACCTGGATCGAAGATCAGAGGGTTTCGGCATCAAAACATTGCATCAGGACTAGATGTGGCCGAGACCATATTTATTTGCAGCATGCGATGCAAAAAAAAAATGTCTCTCTCTTTATCTTTTCTGCCATTTCCCCAATTCTTAGTGATTATGCACAGATTTTATGGCGGTGCTATGGGTGGCACCACTTTAGGATCTCTCTATTTGGTCTTTTGCTACTGGTTGTCAAAATGGACTGGTTTGGAGTCAACTCATTTTGAGGAAAGCTGGAGCGATAGCACAGCGGGTAGGGCGTCTGCCTTGCACACAGCCAACTTGGCCGACCCGAGTTCGATTCCTCCGTCCCTCTCGGAGAGCCCGGCAAGCTACCGAGAGTATTCGATATGCCAGACACAGTAACAACAAAGTCTCCAATGGAGATGTTACTGGGCCCGCTCGAGCAAATCGATGATCAACGGGAGGGCCTTTACTTTACTTATTAATAATTCTGTATGTGGAAAATTCTTCAATGCTGTCACTCAAAAGTTGTACTATAAAGCTTGAAGGAAATAATCAGAACTTCATATTTGGATGCGAGATGTTGTAATTCTCCAGCTTGGAGCTGCATGAGTGTTCAGGATGCCTTTTGTGAGGGGTCAGGTGTGCAGGGTTCTGTGAGAGAGCTCAGTCTGGTGGCTGGGTCTCTGGCCTCCGGCAAGGAGAGACAGTGAAGTTCTGCCATGTTGGTGTCTCAGGGGGAGGTTCCTTCTCTTTTCATTGGACAGATCTGCTTTCCCCAGGCAGAGTGGAAGAAAGATCCTTCTTAAAACTAACATCTGGGAAGCAGAAAGTGAGGAAGTATCTGTTAGAATGTTATCCCTGAGAACAGGCCATTTCCGTAAAGTTCATCCATTATCTGAGGAGTCTTTTAGTGTCTCTTGTGTGTGTGTGTGTGTGTGTGTGGTGTCTGTGTGTGTGTGAGTGTGTCTGTGAGTGTGTATGTGTGTGTGAATGTGTGAGTGTGTGTGTGTGGGTGGGTGGGTGGTTGATTGATCATGCTTATTGGAAAGGATGATTCTCAGTGATGAAATGATTTCCATTTCCATTTCCCATAAGCTCATGCAGATTTCGAGCAGTTTTGCCTGTCTGTTTTATAAGGTTGCCTCGAGGTCTGTGGTTTGTTTCCTTTCAGAGTGAGGCCAAATTGCTTCCTTGGCCCACCTGACTTCCATCATCTGGCCAGTGCTGCGGTCCTCTTGAAGTCACTGTTTATGGGTTAGAACAATTTTCTTTTCTAGAAATGTGATTTATACTTCATTCTTTGGAAAATAAACTTCTGGGATGATTTGCTAATGTCCTAGATACAAGACCCTTATAAACTGATCTTGGACTGGGAATGGAATTTTTTCTTTTCTTTTTAAATAATATAGGAATACCGCTATTTATTCAGCCATTGATTAAGCTGATTGAATTGGGATGAACTCCACAGGAATGGAATTTTCAGAATATAATTAAATATGTTGAAGAAAACACATGGGGGAGAGAGTGAGGCTCAAATGGTGGAATACCTGCTTTCCATACCTAAAGCCCTGAGGGTTTTTAATTATTTTAAATTAAACTTTTTAATGTTTTGGTTTTGGGGCCATAGTTCTCTGTACTCAGGGCTTATTCTTGGCTTTGTGCTCAGGGATCATTCCTTGCAGTGCTTTGGGAACCATATGCAGTGCCAGAGATTTGAACCAGGACTGGCCACATGCAAGCAAATGCTGTAATTCCTATATGTCTTTCCAGACCCTAAGGCCCCGAGTTTGATCCCTGGCTGCTCAAGCCCTACTTCTCCCCTGCTCAGTATGTCCGGTGTGGCATTAACAGCTCCAGAACATCACTGAGTGTGGACCCTGTAACCAAAAAAGGAGAAATAAGACACAGAGGTGCCTAAATGTACCCCCAGACAGATTATATAAACAAAAACAAACAAATACTGTCCTCCCTTTGTTCATCGATTTGCTCGAGCGGGCCCAGTAATGTCTCCATTTTGAGACTTGTTACTGTGTTTGGCATATCGAATACGTCACGGGGAGCTTGCCAGGCTCTGCCGTGCGGGCGAGATACTCTCGGTAGCTTGCCGGGCTCTCTGAGAGGGGCGGAGGAGTTGGACCCGGCTCGGCTGGGCTGGCTGCACACAAGGCAAACGCCCTACGACTGTGCTATCATATATCTATATTTATCTACTTATCTAATTTATATATTATATGTATCTTATAATATATTTACATATTGTTTTTTTCCTCATCTTAATTCATTTTATTCTACAAAATGCTACTCAATTAAACGTGGAAAAACTAACCAAAAAAAAAAAAATAAAACACCACCAAAGGAACAAAAAGTTTTAATATGTTCTTTCTTCCATAGCAGCAAGCTTTCCTGATAAACCTTTTTTTTAATTAGTGAATCACCATGAGGTACAGTTACATACTTTACAAACTTTTGTGTTTGCATTTCAGTCATACAATGATCCATCCCTCCACCAGTGCCCATTTTCCACCACTGATGATCTTAGTATCCCTCCCACCACCCCCACCCCATTCCTCCCCACCCTCCCCGCCTCTGTGGCAGGGCATTCCCTTTTGTTCTCTCTCTCTTTTTGGGTGTTGTGGTTTGCAATAGAGGTATGGAATGGCCATCGTGTTCGATCGATAGTCTACTTTCGGCATGCATCTTCCAACCTGAGCGTGTCCTCTCAACACCCTTTACAATTGGTGTTCCTTTCTCTCTCTGAGCTGCCTTTCCCCCCAGCGTGTGAGGCCAGCTTCCAAGCCGCGGGACAAACCTTCTGGTCCTTATCTCTGCTATTCTTGGGTGTTAGTCTCCTATTTTGTTAACTTTATCTAATAAACTTTCTTTAGTTCAAATACTGCTGGCTTGTATTACAGTAAAATACAAAATAACAAACATCATCAGAGTTATCTCAGACCAGTTACTCCTCGAGGTTCGAAGAACTATACAAAGATGTTGGTGTTCTTGGTTCTATCTGGAGAAGATGACTCCAAAGGGACTGTTTCTTATTTTTTAAAAATGGGAAAAGGTGTTCAGAAAACTCCATAGAGTTCTAGGAATCTAGAACTCTGTATAATGGATTTCCCTCCAGGATCTGAGAGCAGACACTACTCTAATTTGTTTGACTTATCTCAAATACAGAGGCACAAGGCTTATGATTTTCCTCTCTACCAAAATACCATATACACTATACACACACACCACGGCAGAGCCTGGAAAGCTCCCTGTGGCGTATTCAGTATGCCAAAAACAGTAACAATAATGGGCCTCATTCCCCTGACCCTGAAAGAGCTTCCAATACGTTGGGAAAGACGAATAAGGAGAGGCTGCTAAAATCTCAGGGCTGGGACGAATGAGACGTTACTGGCGCCTGCACAAGTAAATCGATGAATACCAGGATGACAGTGATACAGTGATACACGCACACACACACACACACACACACACGTATAAATATAAATACATATATATATAAATTTTCTTTAAACACAAAAAGATTTCCCAAAAAGGCCCATCCAAAACCTCTGGAAGAATTTGACTTTCTGCAGTTTCCAGGAGCAGGCTGCTCTGGGGAAGCTGCAGTCCTGTCCTTCTCTTTTCTCAGGGACTTGGTCACTTGAGCAGGGAGAGGACGACAGATCTTCTAGGCTGCTGCTCTGACCGGGGAGGGTTGTCATAGCCTCCCCGCCCATAGGTTAGCGTCTTGGGTGGGTGGCATGAATGCTGCCCCTCCTCCATGTCCCCTGAGCACCATTGTTGGTGGAACCCAGTGAGAAAACGTGTGACCCAACCCTGCAGCTGCTATTTCTGCAGAGCATCGTGTGTGTGTGTGTGTGTGTGTGTGTGTGTGTGTGTTTGTGTGTACAGTGCTGCTTCCTTGTAATAGCCTGGCTTCTTCATGGACTCTTTTTTTTTTTTTTTATAGCTTAGGACCGTAGGGATTTCCTGTTCAGCATCTGCTTCTTGGTAAAGCTGGATCCCTTGGCACAAGTCAGCATGTTTTCGGGTCTCCTGTCTGTGTCTGTCGAGCGAGGGCTGTCTGGGGTTGCTCAGTTGTGTTTTTGTTGTTGCTGATGGACTGCTTTGGAGCCTTGGCCCCCAGTTTCTTTAGCAAGGGAGAAGGGCCTGGGCAGGGCTGAGCCCTCAGGTCAGTCAGAGACTGGGGGATTCTCTGGTGTGAAGGCTTTGTGGTGCCAGGGGAGCCCAGGAAGAAATGACAGCGGGTACCTGCACTGTTCTGGAGCTGTGGAACAGGCAAACATAAATGTTTCAGGTTCATGCCAAGGTCCCCCAGGAACATCCTTTGGGATGGCCAGTCAGCACCCCTCACCCAGCCAGCAGCTTTCCAGAAGGATGGTCCCAAGAGAAGGTGCTGCATCCCAAGAAGATCGTTCCTGTGCTTTTTCTCGCAGATGAGCTGATTGCCTATGAGCTGACAAGAAGGGACGCAGAAGCCAACAGGCGACCCCTGCCCGAGCTGGTTCGTGCCAAGATCCCCTTCAGTGCCTGCCTTCAAGCCTTTTCAGAGCCAGAAAACGTGGATGATTTCTGGAGCAGTGCCCTCCAAGCGAAGTCGGCGGGTGTGAAGTAAGTGTGTCTGGTGTGTGTGTGTGTGTGTATGTGTGTGTGTGTGTGTGTGTGTGTGTGTGTGTGTGTGGTGTGTGTGTGTGGCGGGGGGTGACAGGCTCCGGTGAGTGTCTGTGAAGGGTGTGATGGAGTCTTGGTTGACAAGAGCCCTTGGTTAACTTTGACCTTATTCTTGTCAGTCATGTCTAGCACCCAGGTCCACATCACTGCCTGTTATGTATATACTTTTTGGAAGTTAGACAGTATTTTATTTTCAATTAAGGAGTTGAAATTTTGGGCAGAGAGCAGGTGAGTATAGCTAAGAAAAGTTCCCCCTACCCTAAAAGTTGGCAAGGTGACATTTAATGAAGAAATGATAGGAGCCGGCATGGGTAGTGCATTTGCCTTGCACGTGGCCAACCCAGATTTGATCCCCGGCATCCCATATGGTCTCCTGAGTATTGTCAGGAGTAATTCCAGAGTGCAGAGCTGGGGGTCACCTCTGAAAACTGCTGGGTGTGACCCAAACAAACAAACATAAACACCCCTGAACACCCAAACTGGTCCTGACAGCCTGCGGTACTTGGACTCCTTTGTGGTAGATTTTTAATTTCTGTACCTAAAGATGAGGCTTTCTTTGACTGTGTTCTTACGAGAGAATAAGAGCATTGTTCAAATGAGCTCTTGGCACATATGCAGGAGGTATTCTGTGTCTGCATTGTCCGCCTACTGTCAGGGCCATCAAATATTTTTCCTCCACTTGACCCTGGAGTTGCTTTAATGTAATCAAACCCTGGCCAACACACTTCTTGTAGCTGGGCAGAAAATCCTGCGTGGTGAAGGGGACGGGAGGGCTGAATGCCTGGACCTAGGACTCTTACTCCTTTTAGATGTTCTTTGGCTGTATTTCTGTGAAGCTCAAGTTTGAGCTCCATTAACGTCGATGGGGAGAGAATGCTCGAGAAGCTCTGGCTGGCTTTTAGCTTTTTCTGTTTTTTTTTTTTTTCAAATTTTACCCTAACCTCAGGTGGCATTTAAATGGAAGTCACTTATTTCTTCTCTTCCTCAGGCTTCCTTTTATTTTAGATGATTAATTCATATGTTAGAAATGAGAAAACAAAAAGAATTTCATTTTTGTTTTATATTTCGCTGATGGAAAGAATGCCATATTCGGGGCAAACAATGCAAAGCATCCTCCTGTCTACGATTAATGGCCCGTAACAGTTCTCCTTCATTCAGGCGAGACACCGTTCTCGTTCAGTTCTCCTCCTTCATTCATCCTAGACACTGCAGTGTTGAGACGACACCGTTGGGGTTCACCTTAGGGAAACTTGGGGATTTGTTTGGGCAGTGGACACCTTGAGCACAGTTTTTGTGGTCAAAAAAGCTTCTTTGTGTGGGGCCCTACCAAGGAGTGCTCAGAAGGCCCAGGAACCTCACTGGGGGTGACTCTCAGCCAGCCCAAGGGCTCTGTGCTGCTCAGATCCAGCAGCCCCAGGGTTGGGAGCAGCACATTGTGCCAGGACTTGAACCCTGGTCAGATGCTTCCTACACACACACCTGCACTGCTACACACTCTCCTGGCCCCTAGGGACATTTTACAAAATGAGTTTCCCTAGTATTATTGAGGTATAATTGACATATAGTTTTGTGCAAACTTCAGGTGTTGATTCAATCTAGATATATATGCTGACTCCCTCTATAAAAATAAATATAAATAGCACTGTCTGTAGGACTGTCATCCCGTTGTTCATCAGTTTGCTTGAGCAGGCTCCAGTAACGTCTCCATTATGAGACTTGTTACTGTTTTTGGCATATCGAATATGCCATGGGGAGCTTGCCAGGCTCTGCTGTGAAATATAAATAAATAAATAAAAATTTATATAAATAAAAAAATAAATGTAAATAAATATAAATTTGCTTTTATTATTGAAAATATGCTGCAGTCCTCAGTCATTTACCCTTTTCACTTTACTGCTGGTTCCCTCCGGGATAAGGTTGTGACTGCAACCCAGGTTCTAGGAAGCCTAGAAAGTGTCAGGGCTACGGAGGGGGCAAGGCGTCTTCTCACGGTGCTTTTGGTGGCAGAGGATTCTTCTGATGGGGCTTCTGGTCTCTTTCCTGCTCCTCAGAGAAGTGGCCTCCTGTCAGGGCAATGCAAGGCGTGGCCGGGTCTGGGCTGGCAGGAAGGAGCCCTCCCCCCAGCCCGGCAGAGACTGGTCTTTACATGGAGTCCTGGGGCGTTGGCTTCGGATGAAGTCTCCAGTCCAGGGCCAGTGGCCAGGCCTCTCTTGTGCCCACTTCCCAGTGTCTCTTTAGTCCTGGCCCAAAGTCCTCCTGCATCTCACAGAGGGAAATCAGAGACTTGCTAGTTCTCTTCACAAAGCCTACGAAATATTTAATTGTTGGCAATGCTAGTAGGACTAGCTAGAACCCTGAGGCAGAGTTTCTGCTTTCTCTCATCCATAATAGTCAATATTTGACACATTTTGTTCTCTTGCTCTACCTTTTACACATGCATGTGCTCTTGGGGATATAAGTGTATTAAAAATTTAATATTGGATACATCACAATTATTAATACCTAGAAAATGATCTTAGTGTAAAAGGAAAAGCCCTTATTTCAGGCTAAGAAAGCAACTTCCTTCTATTGTGTTTTTTATCATAACCAAGTTATGTGTTAGCTCTTCATCGATAATCATTTAATTCTACTAGTAAGATTAGTCTCATTATTCTCCCATTTGAAAGATATAAAAGGAGAAACTGGTTTGTGTGTGGCAGACTTGGATTCAGTCAGGTTATCAAAGTTCAGTTAAGATCTTTCCCCCACATTTTAGAGTGTACCTGTATTGTCGTGCTAGTGTTAGGATGCGGATTGTGATCTCCCTTTAACGACAAAGAGACTCCAGAGACTGCAAACAGCAAGCAAGGTTTATTGTAAGACTGGCTAGCTAACTATATCGCCTACACAGACACGCAGGCCGATAGGTTAGGCAAGACCCCGAACTTCTTCAAAGGGGATCTTATATAGGCCTTCACTGGCTGTTACAGCAAAGCCCGCGCATTTCATAGCCAGTAGATTTGTAACAACATATACTTTCTTAACCAATCCATTTAAAAGTACATCACTCCTTAGCCTATAGATTCAAAGATCAGCATTTGTGTACATGGGCATTGTGGCTAGCGGGCATCTCATAACTCAGACATCTGGTTATCTTCCATGTCCACTCGGCTCCCCGTGATTTACAGCTCATGGCACCTACATTCTGGTGGAGGGGGATGAGGGGAGAGTTACTAGTGGAGGGGCAGATAAGGTAGAGTCGACAGAGGAGGCAAGATTTACATCCCAATTAGGAAGAGTCAACAAATGGAGAAAGAATTTACATCTCAAGGCTTTACTAGGGAGGGGGCAAGATTTACATCTCAAGGCTTTACCAGGGAGGGGGCATGTAAGGAGGAGTTACTAATTAGCAGAGTTAGTGCTGGAATTTCCCTCGGGGTCCCGAGGGACCTTACACTAGTTTTCCTTACAGCTTTTTGTGTGTGTGGGTGTTTTTGGGCCATACGTGGTGGTGCTCCTAGTTTACTCCTGGTGCTGTGCTCCAGGTCCACTCCTGGTGATGCTTGGGGACTGTACGTGGTGCCAGGGATCAAACTGGGACTGTCAGTGTGAAGGCAAGCACCTCACCCTCTGGACTCCCTCTCTACTCCGTTTATAGTTTCAGAGTCCTTGCGTAGCCTTGCTTCTTGTTTTAGGACACACATGTTTACTGGATTCCTTTTTCCTCTTTTTCAAAAATTTCCAGCACTATAGACCTGATTTCCATGTAATATTAATTGTAGGCTTGAACTTTCATTGTGTTAGACCCAGAACTTGGAAGGCCAGAAAGAAGGAAGATGCTCAGTGATCTTGGTAGACCTTCGGTGAGGATGACCAGACAGAAAGACCCCCCTTTAGACCAGGGGTGAGAACCTTTTATCTCTTCAGGGTCACTTGGTTATTTATAGCATCATTTCTGGTCCATGGAATAGAGGCAGACGGACCATGGGCAGCCAGAGGCATATTTCTGCCCCATCGTTTACCAGGGAGAGAATAATGAAGAAATCTCTCTCTCTCCCTTTCTTTTTACTTTCTCTCTCTTTCTCCCCACCCACCCACTCTTTCTTTCTTTCTTTCTTTCTTTCTTTCTTTCTTTCTTTCTTTCTTTCTTTCTCTCCTGTCCCTTCCTCTCCCCTGCCCTTTAAAATATTTTTTCAATTTTATCCTGTTCTCTCCCAGTTTTTATTACAGTACTATGATTTGCAATATTGTTAATAATTCCATGCATACATTGTCTCAACACCACACCCATCACCAGAATGCTCACTTCCCTCCACCAGTGCCCCAAGGAATTCACCTATCCACTCATGCACCCCCCCCCCCCCACAATAGCATTGTAACACTGTAGCACTGTCCTCCCTTTTTAATTGAATCACAATGAGATGCACAGTTGCAAAGTTATTCCTGATTGGGTTTCAGTCATATAATGTTTCAACACCCATCCCTTCACCAGTGCACATTTCCCACCACCAATGTCCCCAGTTTCCCTCCTGCCTTCTCTCCACCCCCACCTGCCACTGAGGCAAGCACTTTTCTTCCTTCTCTGTCTCTCTCTTTCTCTTTCTCTCTCCTTTTGGCCATTATGATTTGCAATACAGATACTGAAAGGTTATCATGTATATCCCTTTACCTATTTTTAACACTCAGTTTTGTCCAGAGTGATCATTTCTAACTTTTTTTTACAATAATGAATTTTATTCAACAAGACAAATGGCAAAAATAATTTTTTTTGGAGAGGGGTTTCGCAAGCATTGTCAGCAGTGCCTTTTCCCCAGGGCCCCTCTGAGCAATTCTTGGCCAGTTGGCAATGCAGCAAGGCTCTGAAGACGCAGCGTGGGGCCAGGCACTAGGAAGAGGTGATCAGTTCACCAGCACACCCTGCAGTGTTTGGGGGACTGTGTGTGCCAGGGATCGGCTTGTTGTCTGTCGCATGCAGGGACTCCTGTATTCTCTCCCCATGAGTCTAGAACTATGCACTGATACCGCCCCTGAGCTCGAGCCCTCCCATGCCCACCCACACTGATTTTGCCGGCTGGCACCTCTAGTTTCTACCAGAGAACAACTGGAGGAGTCTGGGCTCCTGAGCCACGTTTTGGAAATGACGGGTTTCCATCAAACTGGGTTGATTTCACTGTGATATATTTTTCATGTCTATATATATTTTTTGTTTTGGGGCCACACCTGGTCCTACTCAGGGCTCACTCCTGCCTCTGTGCTCAGGGATTATTCCTGGCTGTGCTCAGGGGACCACATAGGGTACTGGGGGATCAAACCCTAGTTGGTTGAGTACAAGGCAAATGCCCTACATACTGTACTATCTCTCTGGTCCCCTACTTTTTTATATTTTAAGTTAACATGAGAAGGAGATGTCAAAGGAGTGATTTTTTTCCCCCCACATTAACTAAAAAAATTAGATGACGTTTATTGGTTTTTATGAAATTGAGAACTTGTCTATATTTAAGAGGAATACTTATTACTGCTTTGCCAAGGGTAAGAAAACCTAATTACAGATATTTTATTTCTAACGCCTGAGTCCTCATTAGCATATTTAGGCTCCTGCTTTGGAAGAATCCCCTTAGGTTATAGTCTGTACCTGTCAGTATTCCTTGTGATGGGAAATCTGAGATAGGGGGCAGTTAAATGAGTTTCCTGAAGGTCAGTAATGACCTATTTAGTGTCCAAGGCCTCAAGCATTTTAGCTCTTTTGTGATAAAATAGTCATGCTAATTCCAGTATGCTCACACCCCATCTAGAGTGCTAAATGGGGTTGCATCAATCATTGACCAACGGAGGCAGGCAGATACTGTTAAAAGAGTCCATTGTTTTAGATGTGAAATAGCGCCTCAGGGAAGGTGCAGGGTTTGGCAGTGAATGGAGTTGCACATAAAAGACCCAAACCCTATTCTGGTTTTTGCCCCCAGCTCTGTCCTGATACAGTGACTTCTCTTCTACACAAGGGGGCAGCACTGCACTTGCTTTTGTTTTTCGAGGCTGCGTTCTCAGGTTTGGATTTGAAAAGTGCAGCTTGAGAGGATGTGTAGAATCTTTCATTTGAAAAGACGTCTCTAATATTTGGCTGTAGCTAATTTTCTTTGAGAAATATGCCTGCCGGGCTAGAGAGATCGTACAGGGGTTAAAGGCCTTGCACATGGCCAACTCGGTTTGGTACCCCAATACTGCTAGAAATGACGCCCCAATCCAGAGCCAGGAGTGAGTCCTGAACTCAGTTGTGTGTGCCCCCCCTCAAATATATTCATATACACCTTCCACACCCTCATTGGCACTTGGTTAGAAATAGCGCTGTAGCACTGTCGTAGCACTGTCCTCCCGTTGTTCATTGATTTGCTCAAGTGGGCACCAGTAACGTCTCCATTGTGAGACTTGTTACTGTTTTTTGGCATATTGAATACGGGGAGTTTGCCAGTCTTTGCCGTGCAGGTGAGATACCCTCGGTAGCTTGCTGGGCTCTTCGAGAGGGGTGGAGGAATCGATCCCCAGTCGGCCTTGTGCAAGGTAAATGCCCTACCTGCTGTACTATCGCTCCAGTGGTTAGAAATGAGTGTTATAAACAAGTTGATATATACAGTGAGTATGAGCCGGAGCTATGGCAAGAATTTGGTGTATAGGATGAATATACACAAATGTTCGAACCCAAGATCTGGCAGTTCAGCCTTCCTTAATGTTCAAAGGGAAGTGCGCAACTTTGGCACGTCAATTCAATAGATAGGCTTGAATATTTCCATTTACTTAATGTTTTAGGATCCATGTGGACCTAGATTTTAGAGCTAGTAGTATTTTATTTGTTGGATGTATTAATATATGAGGTCTCATCAGCCTCAGCCCAAATTCCAATACATTCTAATTTTGCAAACTCTGTGATTCTCTGTAGGAGCGGAGGTTGGGTGGATCAGGATTGTTTGGGGTACACCCATGATCACACCCACCTGCAATTCCATAGTAAATAGTAGTAAATTCTAGCCAGGGTTTTAGAAAAAAAATGTGGTTGAAGAGCTTTTCAGAAATATAGAATCCTGAAGTAGAAGTAGCAACTTTGCAGTGGACCCCAGTCACCCTCAAGAGACAATCTATTTTTTTTTCTTTTTGGGTCACACCGGGTGATACTGACTCTGCACTCAGGAATTAGTCCAGGTGGTGCTTGAGGGACCATATGGGATGCTGGGAATTGAACCCGGGTCAGCTGTGTGCAAAGCAAATACCCTACCCGCTGCACTGTGGCTCCAGCCCCTGGACAATCTGTTTCTGCCCTTAACAGTTTCTTTCGGTAGAAATGCTGGGTAAGGGGTGGAAAAGTGAGTGAGTTTGTGTCTGTTCGTCCTTGTTCTAGTTCCTCCCACACAGCCCAGCTGTGGCACCTGCCAGGCACGTCTCTGACCAAGCTTGTGATACCAGTGATCCGTGTTCATGGTTCTCAGGGCCTCGGTTCATTGATTCTCTTCCTTTATGTTCCCAGAACATCTCGCTTTGCTTCATTCCCGGAATACTTGGTAGTGCAGATAAAGAAGTTCACTTTTGGCCTTGACTGGGTCCCCAAAAAGTTTGGTAAGTATCTTTTGCGTGGATTTGCTTAAAATGTTCACCAGCCAGTTCAAAAACGTGGCGTGTGAAATAGTTCATGTGGTGGGCTGGCAGAAGTAGGTTCATTTCATCTACCCTCTCTATCGCCGAAACTTTATTGACACCTTTTTCTTGAATCAGAGAATTTCTTAAATATCAACGGTAAAAATGACCACATTTTTGGTCATTCTAGAATGAACAGAGTCTATTAAAAAAACCCCTCAGTATTCCCGCTTTTTATCTTTATTTTTTGGTTTGGGGGTCCATAGCCTGGGGGTACCCAGGGTTTACTCCTGGCTCTGCACTCAGCGGTGGCTCCTGGCAGGCTCAGGGGACCACATGGGATGCCTTTTGCAAGGCAAACACCCTACCCGCTCGCTGTACTATCTCTCTGCCGCCTATTTCCTACTCTTCTGTAAGCACAGAGTTTACCTGGGATCTTAGGAAATGCTGATCCCAGGCAGCAGATCTGGAAGGGTCTGAGACTCTTTCTCAGAAGTCCCCAGGAGTGTCTTAGACCTCACTGTGAGGTGCCTGTGATTGAGGGTCCTGCTCAGTAGCTGCTTCCGACTCTAGCTGGCTGGTGCAGCTGATGGCATTCACTTCAGTCATGCAAACTTCATGAATAATAAACGAGTACAGCCAGGGGCATTATTCCAAAAAGGGATGTGATTTTAGCTGAACTGGGCTTCGTTACTATATTTAAAGGCCCTTGACCAAGAGGTTCATTTTCTGGACAGTGTGTAAGAACATTTTCTCCGCTGTCAAGCCCTAGTCGGCCTTCAAAGACACTGAAGGAGATGCAGCTTTACTCTCTGTGGGTTCCCAAGTCCCTCAGACTCTTTTGCCAGTCTTTTAAAGTTGTTTTTAATTTTTTTTTGTATTGAATCACTCCCTCGGGCAGTATTATGCCCCCGCGCCTGGCTGTCCTCGCGGGGCCCCTTGGAGGGGAGCGGGTTGAGCTTTCCTCCCCGCCCCGACCAGGGCTCCGGCAGCGAAAGACCTCCAGGACCAGCCACCACCATGCTGAGACCACTCTCCGCACACATGAAGGTACTGGCAGAGGGACAAAGTCACGCAGGTTCCGGGGCCGAGATCTCCAAGCCTACTCAGATTGGGGCCGAGCATCCTCCACCCAGATCCTCCAAATTCCAGTAGGTGGGGGTCACACCCACCAACTGGCCCCCTGGCGCCATGTAATTCCATCAACGGCCAAGACTCAGAGACTATGAAAAAACCAGCTCCCGCAAATGCTGCCGCGCGACATCTTATTATGACATCTTATTATCTCATTCCTACTTTGGACAAACTGGCAGGCTATCGAATGTAGCCTGCCCACACGGCAGAGTCTGGCAAACTCCCCGTGGCGTACCCAATATGCCAAATACCAGTAACAATGATGGGTCTCATTCTCCTAAAGAGCCTTGAATATAATCTCAGGGCTAGGATGAAAGAGACGTTACTGGGGCCTGCTCGAGGCAATCGACGAATAACAGGATGATTTGTGATTTTGATTTGTGGTCGAATCACAGTGAGATAGACATTACAGTACTTTTTTTGTTTTTTAGCACTCCTCCACCCTCCCTACAGAAAAAGAAAAGAGAAAAGAAACCACTTGAAATTTTTTTTTTTTGGTTTGTTTTTTTGACTACACCTGATAATGCTCAGGGATTACTCCTGGCTCTGCACTCAGGAATTACTCCTGGTGTTGCTTGGGGGACCATACGCGATGCCAGGGGATTGAATCCCGTTCATCTGTGTGCAAGGCAGCCCTCCTTCCGGCTATACTATGGCTCTAGCCCCCACTTGAATCTTAACGTTGGTTAATGAAGCATTCTTCTGCCCATCTGAAGGGCAGATATAAAAGAGAATGGGTGGTTGGTGGGAGGAACTACCCAGAAGCCGCTGGCTCTCACGCTAACACGGTATGGTCCTCGCTGCCCTGAGCTGCTCTGGAGGCTGGAATGGATTCTGCAGCAGGTCTTTGTTCCTGTGGGCGGGGCAAAGGACAGTCACTTGTTATGTTTTCTGCCCCCCCCCCCCCCAACCATTCTTGTTCTAAAGGATCCAAAGTTCAGCTCAGATTTCTTAGACCTGCTGGATTTAAAAGGTGCCACAAAGATTTCTTTAATGAATTTGCATTTTTCTCTTGAGGATTTATTGTATTATGGGGGGGGGGTGGGTATCTCAGAAGGCCTGGGGGCTACTTCTGGCCCAGCTGTGTGGCCAGAGGGTCCAGTGCTGGGGCTCGGCTGCTGAGGCCCAGAGGTTCTAGGGGCTCCAGGGCCAACCTGAGGATGCTTGTGGAGTCACACAGTGTCAGGGTTTGAACTCAGGGTTCTGGGCATGCCAGGTGTGTGCCAGTCCTTTATGGTATCACTTCAGCCCCACAATTATGGGAGTTTTGTTGGTCACACGTTGTTTTTTCTGTTGTCTGAGGTATAGGTGGCTTTGGGATTTTTTGACCATACCTCGTGGAACTCAAGGGACTGTGCAGTGCTTGAGATTGAACCTGGAGCTACAGCAGAGCCCATGCTCCTCACCTAGACCACCTCCCTGGCCTCCTCTATATGTTTAGAGTTTTGTTTTTTCTTTCTGTCCTTCCTTCTTTCTTTCCTTCCTTCCTTCCTTCCTTCCTTCCTTCCTTCCTTCCTTCCTTCCTTCTTTCTTTCTTTCTTTCTTTCTTTCTTTCTTTCTTTCTTTCTTTCTTTCCTCTTTTTGGGTCACACCAGCAATGCATGGGGGTTACTTTGGCTCTGCACTCAGGAATTACTCCTGGCGGTGCTCAGGGGACCATATGGGATGCTGGGAATTGAACCCAGGTTGGCCGCGTGCAAGGCAAACGCCCCACCCGTTTTGCTATCACTCCAGCCTAGTTTTGTTCTTTAGATACGTTTTGTAATAGAATTTGTATGGCTGACACTGTCCTTGATATTTTCAGTTCAGTTTGTGGGCCCAACATTTTCATTATGATCAGACTCAGACAGGCATAATGCTAAATCTTAAGCTACTAGATTGGTCAATTTTCTGTCTGAGTAAATCAGCACAACAACTGAATTAAGAAGCATCACCCTCAAGACTCCAGATTCGGCTAATGTAATTAAAATATCAATATTTATTATCTCAACTAACAGTGACCACATTAACCATTGTAATCTGAAAAAAGGTATAAACTCAGGGTCACCATCACATGCTGAGCCAGGATAAGTTGTGATATAAATGAAAGAACAAGGCTGGGAATAAGAAATGTGTGGTTGGGGCTAGAGTGATAGCATAACAGGTAGGTCATTTGCCTTGCACGTGAACGATCGGGGTTTGATTCCCAGCATCCCATATGGTCCCCCGAGCACTTCCAGGAGTAATTCCTGAGTGCAGAGCCAGGAATAACCCCTGTGCATCGCCGGGTGTGACCCCAAAGGCCAAAAAATAAGTGTGGCAAGCTTATGTTGGTCTTTCTTGGATATTCCTAAAGACATGCCTTAGATAAAATGTTTTTTCTGCCAGGTGGATCAGAAGATGCTCAGGGACATGGGGGAGGGGGTGGGCAGGAGAAGCTAGAGAGGGTGACAGCCTGGCACCGAGGGCGGAGGCTATCATGAGCTATGTTATGAGAATATGCTTCCGTTTTCTGCCTTTCAAAATAAGTGCAATGTCTATTTTAAAATCAAATCTTCCGGTTGAAAATTAGAGCTTGTTGCCAGGATTGCAACTATATCACAGAATGTACCTGAGCCACAAATGGCCCCTGGACTCCAGTTGGCAGCCCTTGGCTTGTTCTTGCACTGTGTCGGGGAGTCCGCACCTTCTTGTGTCCCCAGTTCTCCATTCAGATCTGCCCCGTGCCCGGAAGTGAGCCCAGAGTCCCGAATCTGCTCCAGGCCACCAAAAAGCACTTTGCCCTGCTTCGATGCTTACATGCAGAGTTAGTTGTGCCGATTTTTTTTTCTTCTTGGGTCACACCCAGAGATACTCAGGGGTTACTCCTGGCTCTGCACTCAAGAATTACTCCAGGTGGTGCTTGGGGAACCCACATGGGATGCGGCGAGTTGAACCTGGGTCGGCCTTGTGCAAGGCAAACGCCCTACCTGCTGTGCTATCATTCCAACCCAAGCAGTGCTGATTTTAGGTGGCGATGGTGGAGTTTTGGAGACTCGGGGGGAATTGAATCTCTTTTTTTGCAGATGTTTCTGTGGATATGCCGGACTTGCTTGATATCAGCCATCTTCGGGCCAGGGGCTTACAACCAGGGGAAGAGGAACTCCCAGACATCAGCCCCCCGATCCTCATTCCCGATGACTCCAGAGGTACTGTCTTCTGCCAGGGCAGGGTTCATGGTCCCCCTTCTTAGCCCCCCTTTCTCTGCTGGACATCACCTCTCTGCTTCCATGCTCTTGTAGGTTGTCTTTCTGTGTTGTAACCTGTTGTATACACACACAGTCAGGCTGTCCCCCACCCTAAGCTTTCCTTAGGGACCCGCACAGACAACAGGGCACAGGACGAGTGTTTGAAACTGACCCCGTGGACGTCCCTGCAGAGGGTAGCAAATCTCCAGAAAGTTCCTAGGTTTGGTTGCTTTGGCTTTTCCTGCTTCCAGCCTGCCCCGGTGGGCCTGCAGGGAAAAGCAAAGGCGTGTGTTTTCAGTAGGCGCTTCGCCCGAGGGAGCTGTCATTCCCGAGAGTATCTTTGGACACCCAGAAGGGGAAATGCAACCATGTGCTAGATTTTAAAAATCTTGCCCACATCTCACCTCCCCGATGTTCTCACTGCTTCTTGACGGAGGGAGAGCTTGGAATTTTGCTTTCATGTGCGAACACCAGTCTGGTCCGTGTTAAGCTCTCTCAAAGTTCTTTGCGTGATCACAGTCTTATTTTTATTATGTCATTTTACTTTTTACTGAGCCAGTATTGGTTTGTGAGGGTGTAATGTTGAATGTTTTAAGGGGCACGATGTTACCACATCAAACTGTCCAAGGAGGTGGCACTTCCTCCCAGCTCCCTGTCCCTGGGAATCTCAATTCTTTTTTTTTTTTTTTTTGCTTTTGGGTCACACCTGGCGATGCACAGGGGTTACTCCTGGCTCTGCCCTCAGGAATTACTCCTGGCGGTGCTTGGGGATCCATATGGGAAGCTGGGAATCGAACCCAGGTTGGCCGCATGCAAGGAAAATGCCCTACCTGCTGTGCTATTGCTCCAGCCACATTTTTTTTTGTCTATTTTGTTGAAGAAACTGTTGATTTTTATTTATTTTAAAGTGTAACTTGCTTTGTTTCAAAAAATTATTATTATTATTTTTTTGGCTTTTTGGGTCATATTGAGCGATGCTCAGGAGTTACTCCTGGCTCTGCACTCAGGAATTACTCCTGGTGTTGCTCCGGGGACCATATGGGATGCTGGAGATTGTACCCAAGTTGGCCGTGTGTAAGGTAAACACTCTTCCTGCTGTACTATTGCTCCAACTCCTACTGTTTTATTTCATTACCTGAAAGTTAAGTAACCTTTGAGTTTAGCTGAAATCATGCATGAAAGAACTCAAGTTTAATGCTGGTACAGAATTAGAGTCAGTGTGTTTAGAAAAAAACACAGTTATAATAATAACTATAATAATAATAATAATAATAATAATAATGAAACACAGTTATAATAAAACACAATAATAAAACAGTTATCATTTTGGATAGAACTTAGTTAACAGACACAACACTCCAACTACTGGGATCACTTCCATTCCATTTTTCTTTCTTTTAAATTTTTTTTGTTAATTTATTTTTAAATTGAATCATCATGAGAGACACAGTTACAAAGTTGCTCATGATTGGGTTTCAGTCATGCAGTGCTCCAACTCCCGTCCCTTCACCGGTGCACATTTCCCACCACCAGTGTGCCCGGAGTAACGTCAGTTCTGTGGTCAGAGTCTCAGGGTCTGTTTGCACTGGACATTGTCTCTTCTCTTCTTTTTTTTTTCTTTCACATATTGCCTGTGAGTGAATCCAATCTGTCTTTGTCTCTCTCCTCCTGACTTATTTTGCTTATTGTCGTCCCCAGTGATTCCATAAATGTTGTAGCAAAAGGCAAGATTTCATCTTTTCTAATTTGCTAAGTTGTAGAGAATAATTTCATTTCCCCCCCCTCTTTTTTGAGGCACGGGGGGGAGCACACCCAGCAGTGCTCAGGACTTACTCTTGGCTCCGCATTCAGGGATCTCTCCTGGTGGGGCTCAGGGAGCCAAATGGAGTGCTAGGGATTGAACCTAGGTCAGCCACATGCAAGGCAAGTGTGCTACTATCACTGCAGCCCAGGATATTTAATTTTTTACAGGAAAAAGACATTAAAAAAATCCCCAACAAAATATAATTGCTTTACCTTAGTGGGTTCAGAGTGTAATTCTGATGCCATCAGGTTCCTCTGGCTTTCTCTGCGATGCCTGGGATTCAGCTTCCTGTAGACAGTGTGTCAGGCAGGTTAGTCACAGCAGTGACAGGACCTGCTGGTGCTCTCCACCAAAGCTCCCCTTAGTTGCGCAGTGATTATTCTAGGTCAGTATTTCTCTACGGCAGCCCCCATTTGACTTTCTTTTCTTCCAGTGCTCCCCACCCCATCCTACTGGTTAGCCCCTTAGTCTCATGTTGTGGGTCCCCATGTACATGATTTTCACCTGTGTCCCCTTGACTCTCCTGGGCCCACGAGGGGAACTGTGTGGGCTCGGGTGAGAAGTACCTTTCTAGGCATGCATGCTTAGGTGCAGGGAAGGGGAAAGCAAGTTCAGGTGGACCAAGAGAGACACCAGTGTTTCTTTATGTTTTACTTCTGAATCAAATGCTGAGTTACAGAGTATGAGGAGTAGAGCATGAACCTCTGTGGGAAGTCTGTTCTGAGGTGGGTGTGGTATCAGTGGTTCCTTGAAGACATTAGAGGAGAAGCATCGGAGAAATACAAGTAATTTCTCAACAGCTGGTGTTTTAGCACTGCACCAACATTCTCTGATGTTCACAACAGAATCTTTAGTTTATAATCAATACAGATTCTCAGAAGCACAGGGAAAGAAATTAAGAAACTTGGGCTGGAATGATATCACAGTGGGTAGGGCATTTGCCTTATACGCGGCTGACCCGGGTTCGATTCCCAGCATCCAGTATGGTTCCCTGAGCACTGCCAGGACTAATTCCTGAGTGCAGAGCCAGGATTAACCCCTGAGCATCAATGGGTGTGACCCGAAAAGCAAAAAAAAAAAAAATTAAGAAACTCATTAAGAGGTTAATCAGAGCATCATGCTTTATCTGTTCTGAGTGCTGGGAAGCTGGTGTGAGGCACCTCATTCTGTCAGGACTGTGTTGGGTGTGATGGGGTGGTCTATGTGGAGACTGGTGGGGCTGAGAGTGTGGGGGCCTCCAAGGGCGGAGGACTTAGGGTGGTCCCTGAGTTGATTCTTTTTCTTTCTCCAGTGCTATTCTTCATGGTCTAGTCTCATTTTCTGCTCTGTCCCTTAATTTTCAGATCGCTTGATGAACCAATTGATAGACCGTATGTATCTTTCCATTTTTCCTCTGTGTCATACAAGTTGTTGGTCTGTCATGTTTATCTGTGGGAGTTCATGAAAAGAGCATGCATCTTTGTGTGTGTTTGTGTGTATGTGTGTTCCTTCTCCTGGGGCAGAATTATTTTTGGCTTCAAGTGCGAGTTAACAGCAAGCCAGTGACCTGGGGGCCAGATGTCAGGAGAGGGAGACATTCGTGTGTGAGGCAGCCAGTCCTGGGCTGGGACCCTGGCTTGGCCATTTATGACGGTGTGGTCTGATCTAGAACCATTTTCTTAGCTTCTCTGAGCCTTGGTTTCCTCCTGTTGATATGTAATGGTGCAATCACAGTTTCGCTCTGCTCTCCTTGCACTCTGTTGGTTTAGAGATGCCTTATCTTGGTGTTTTGTTTTAGTAGTGGGAAAGTTAGAAACAGAATTGGTGACTGAACAGTAGCCAGGAACGCATCTAGAGGATGGTCCCTTGAGTGTTCCCTTCTGGGAATTAGGCAAAGATGAGTGGGCCATAGATCATAAGTTCTGATTCAGAACAGAACAGAAGGACCCAGACAAACCTATTACCTGGATGGGAAGGGAGACAGGGGCCACCAAAACAATTAGTAAATTAATAAATGTCTCTATGGAACCTAGAACAGAATGTTCAGAACACAGAAATTACTCACAACTGGGGCTCATTGCTGGCCCCCTCTATGTGTCCCTTCTGCATGGTTAATTGTAAATAACTAATCAAAAAAGTCTATTTTATGCCTTCTTCTCTTTATCTCACCATTGCTATGATTGCCAGAAAAATTCCTATAAGAATGTTCTGAACCCTTCGTGGAGGCTGCAATTTCAGGTTGTGGTTCATCAAAAGGCTAATGAATAGAATGAATAGAATCTCCTTGCTTACTTGCCTAAGATGATCTTGGTGTGATTGATTAAGCAAACTCCATTAGAATAATGTGTGAAGGAGGGGCAGTGATGCGTTTTTTCTTTCTCTGGCCACACGAGAGATATTGTACTACCCTGAGAGCACAGTGGCTGGTCAGTTTGGCTACAGCTGGGCATATAAGACACGTGGATGATAGAAAATGGTGCTATCAGTGAATATGGTCAAGGTTATTAGTTTCTTTGAGTTATTTTAATTTTGTGCCCTTCTAATTCTTTGGTATTGATTAAAAAACAAAAAAAAATCCCTTATAGTGATTATGTACTAATTAGGAGGAAGTGGTGCTATTTCAACACTACTTTAGGTCTCTTGTCCTTCTGGAGGTAAATATTTTTATTTATTTACTTATTAATTGTTCTTTTGGGTTAGTCTCAGCTGTGCTTAGGGCTTATTGCTGGCTCTGCACTAAGACTCGGGGGACCCTATGGGATGCTGGGGCTCCAACCTGGGTCGGCTGCATGCAAGGCAAGTGCCCTACCTGTTATACTATTGTTCCAGCTTCACCATCTTTTGTTTTTGTTTTGAGGCCATACATGGTGGTGCTCAGGGTTTCTGCTGACTCCAGAGCTCAGGAACCTTAAGTCATGTTGGGAATTGTACCTGGGTCAGGGACATGTAAGGCAAGCTACTTACTTGCTGTAGTGTCTTTTTGTCCCACCTGGAGGTAAAACATTAACTTAGAATTCAAATATTGGGACCAGGGAGCTAGCACAGGAGTCAAGATGCATGCCTTGCATGCAGCCAACCCTGGTTTATCTCAGGCATTGCTGGGTGATTCCTGGAGGCTTGCAAGCAGCCGTGAGTGTAGCCCGGGGATCCAGGTAAGCCTGGCACTGCAGCATCTCTGCAGCACTGCACCCTCACTGACCACCAGGATTGCCCCTCTAGGTCCCCAGAGCACTGGGATGCCCCCTGCAAAACACTCCAGTATCACTGAAGGTTCCGGGTCAAACACTGCCCCGGTGAATAATTTTTTTTTAGTTATTGACTTACCGTGAGATATAGTTACAAAGCTTTCATGATTAAGTTTCAGTCATACAGTGGTTGAACACCCATCCCTCCACCAGTGTTCAGTGTTGTACTAGGGACAAGAATGTCCCTAGTAGACCTTCTGCCATCCCTACCCTACCCCTGCCTTTATGGCAGGCACTTTCCTTCCTCTCTCTCTACTTTTGGGCATTATGGTTTGCAACATGAATGCTGGGAGACCATCACAGTTGATCCTTTGTTCACTTTCAGCATACATCTCCCATCCTGATCGATCCCTCCAACCATCATTGACTTAGAGAATAATTTGACTGTCACCTTAACTGTGGCTGTTCAGGGTGGTTATCTTGTGACATTGCACTTCTTATTCCCTAAACTCAGTGTGATCAAGTGCTGTTTATCTAAGTCTAAGTCTAAGTCTAGATTTTCCTTTGATTATCACGGTAAGAAAGCAGGGCAGAGGATGAAACTGAGATGCCGGAAAGTGCAGACACCCCAAGATGTGGGACCGGAATCAAAACTCGGTTGGTTCTGTGTTATTTGACTTGTGGGATGGTGAGCCTTCCTGGCTGCTCCTCATCTGACAGAACATTGACCCATGTTCTTGACGCAGGGGAGTGGCGAGCCTTGGAACTGACTGTGAACTCTCAGCCATTTTCCAGGCTGGTTTGGCCCTGGAGCGAAGTCTGATGTTTATCAGAAAATAGAAATTATCTGGGGTTAATTTTCATTTGTGCTGTGCCTTTCTCAGATGTCTAAGAGGAACAACTTTGTTTTCATTTTCTACAAGTGAAAAGGCCTATTGCTGAAAAGTCCAGGCCTTCTCAGAGCTAAAAATTTAACTCTAGCCCAGACATCCCAGTTAAGAAATCTGTATTTTATGGAGCGCCAATATGTATCTCCAATATCTACAATGCTGACATCCCAGGAGTAGACTGATGGGATGTAATGTAGAGACCAACCAATGTGTACTCGCAGAAACACTGAAACTTCTAACAACAGCTTAGTAAACTCTCAGACAAGGGCTTCACGCACCAATGGTGAGATACAACTACTTCCACAAATTTTCTACGACAGAAACATTTTTTGATCGTTCTGTTAGCCATTTAGGGGTAATAAGCAATATAAAGTGAATTGTGAGCCTGCTGTGGGGGCAGGCTTGAAGGGTAGTTGGGAAATGGAAATAATGGTTGTGGGAAGGTGACAGTGGTGGTGGGATTGGTTGTTGGAATACTGAATGCCTGGAACAGATCTTCTTGAACAGCTTTGTAAATGATGGTGTTTAAATAAAGTGTGTGTGGGGAATAAGTAAAGAAAAAAAAGTGAATAGGCAGAGACTGTGGATTCGCAATAAGAATCAGCTATGCATTCCCTCTTCATAATCACTTAGCATTTGTAATATTTCTTCCTACTATTCTTGACTTCTGCATGGCTCACTTGAGTTTTCGCAGAAGTGAAGTTCTGCATTTTAGATACAGTATATTTTTATATATTCTTACACTTATTAAGCTCTCCTTCTTAAGCGGCATTTTAGGGAATCTGCGTCTTAGAAGAACTGGAAAAGTGTTCTGCAGAGTTCTGCGCTTTTTAACTTTTTTTTCTGTAGGAATCTTTTTAGAGAACTTTTGAGTTTTTCCTATGCTAATGGACTTTTGGATTTCTAGGGGGAGAATAGAGAATGTCGGGTCTTTGGGGGATGGGGGCACTGGGGCTTTGAAAGTGCTCTCAGGGTATGTGGCAACTGCCTTTGGGGACATTTGGTCAGTGGGGCTGGATGGTTCCATGTGAGGGCCCGAGGCTGGGGTGCTGTTTGGGTCCTGGGTTCTGGGGATCTCCAGCCCTACCCAGTGGTGTATAGTGTGTGGTGCCGAGATTGAACTGCAACCCAGACCGTGCCAAGCATGTGCCTGTGCTCTCTCTGTGGCCTCGAGAGTGTAGGGTTTAAGATCCTACTTGATCAGGGAGGCTGAAGGATACAGGGTTGAATTGCTTTCCTTGTGCGTGGCTGATCCCAGTCTTCACTCCCAGCCCACATTCCCCCAAGCATTGCCAGCCATCACTCCTAAGCCAGGAGTAGCCCCCGAGCATCAGTGCGGCCCCAGATCCCCCTATTTCTCCCCCACCATCCCCAATCTTGAACTTATTTGTCCACAGAAACCCTATGTTTTGTGGTTGAATAGTTGCATATCTAGTATGTAACTTACACGTAACTAGTTGTTACATATCTACATGCTCTGATGATGTCAAACTGACTTGGAGAATCATAGTTGTCTAATGACCTTGCTTTCTTCAAATTTGACTTCGGGGGCCAGAGCGATAGTACGGTGGGTAGGGCGTTTGCCTTGCACGCAGCCAACCTGGGTTTGATCCCCAGCAACCCATATGGTCTCCTGAGCACCGCCAGGAGTAATTCCTGAGTGCAAAACTAGGAGTAACTCCTGAGCACCCCTTGGTGTGACCCCAAAAGCGAAAACAAAAAACAAAAAAACAAAAAACAAAAAAAAAACCCAAAAAGAAACAAAAAAAATTGACTTTGGTAAGATTTTTGCGTCTCTTTTGTGAGAGAGAGCTTTGACAAACATTTCAATCTAATTTTATAGGCAGTGTCGCTTTCTTGGTGCTCCTACTGATTATTATCTTTGACAGATTTTTCAACCAAGTCCCATCAGAGACCACAGTACTGGTAAAACACTGGGATCAAAGTTTTGCTTTGCTAGCACATATTAGTGCTTTTTCTGAGTGTTCCTTCTACTCTTTGGTATAATTTGAGAGTACTCTGTAAGAGTGAACATTTATGCACAGCTTCACATATGTGCATATATATAAATACACATGAAATACATGGGCTGGAGCGATAGCACAGTGGTAGGGCATTTGCCTTGCACGCAACCAACATGGCCGACCCGAGTTTGATTCCTCCGCCCCTCTCGGAGAGCCCGGCAAGCTACCGAGAGTATCTCACCCGCACGGCAGAGCCTGGCAAGCTCCCCGTGACATATTCGATATGCCAGACACAGTAACAACAAAGTCTCCAATGGAGACGTTACTGGGCCCGCTCGAGCAAATTGATGAACAACGGGAGGACAGTGACAGTGACAGTGACATGAAGCACATACAAATATATGTGTCTGTATTTGTGCAAATATGTATCCACACATACATATTGAATATTTTTATATTATTGTAAAAAGGAAACAAAATAAAAATCCCTGTGTGTAAGCCACAGTTAGATTTGTATAGCAATCTTTTTTTTCAGAATTTGAAACGTGTAATTAAAGAGACATATTCTCTTTTCCTACTTAACATTTGGGCTCTCCCCCCCCAACTCCCCACCCCACCCCCAGATGATGACTTCCTTTGCTTATGGATGCCACTACAGATATGTCATAGTTTCCTGTGAGATTTAAGGAGCAGTTTTTTTGGCCTGTAGATATGATGTTCCTCTTTAATTTGTGAGGCCTTGAGGATGATCTGAGACTAAAATGGTTTGGGGAATATAGGAGATCTTTCCCACACAAAATTAGAACATCGTTTTTCAGGGTTTGGATTGTTTAGATAATTACCATGGATTTTATTTAGGTCAGAGATGTCCATTCACCTCAAATAGCTTAATATTGGATGGCTTAAGACCCAAGATAGTGAGTGAAAGCACCATAGATAACACTGAACAACTCAGCCTTTGGGTGGTATGTGGGTGAGGGGGTGAAGGGGTGTCGGGAGCAGAGGGGCTGCTGTTCCACACCTGTCCTGTTGTGCTTTATAGCATCAGACATTGATGAGTCATCGGTGATGCAGCTGGCAGAGATGGGCTTCCCTCTAGAAGCGTGTCGGAAGGCTGTGTACTTTACCGGAAATATGGGTGCCGAGGTGGCCTTCAACTGGATCATAATTCACATGGAAGAGCCAGGTAGGTCATGAGAGATGCCCTGGGTGATGATGCGGAGCACCTGGTCCTGTGCATCTCTGCAAACTCTGCCCGTTTTAAATGAGAATATTTGCCTTTTAATTGTTGAGATCTAAGAATTCTTTTTGCTTTCTTTCTTCTTCTTCTTCTTTTTTTTTTTTTTTGCTTTATGGGTCATACCCAGCAATGCACAGGGGTTACTCCTGGCTCTGCACTCAGGAATTACTCCTGGCGGTGCTCAGGAGACCATGTGGATTGCTGGGGATCGAACCAGGGGCGGCCGCATGCAAGGAAAACACCCTACCCACTATCCTATAGCTTCAGTCCCCCAGAGTTCTTTTATATATACAAATAACTTATATATGATTTCAAATATTCTCCCCCATTCTCTGGGTTGTCAGTCCACTCTCTTGATGGCATTTTAAGACACAAACATTTTTGTCTTTTTGCCTCAGATCCCTGGTCACTCCACGCTCTGGGCCATGCCCGGGGCTGCCCCTCCACCACCCCCGTTGGTACCCTGCTGCTACACCTGGCCTCTGGGAGGAAGGGAGGATCCTGGACCTCAGCAGTCCTCTCCTCATCAATGTTGCACATTTTTTTTTAAACTCCATCCTCCCTTTTGTAGTGGGCTGGATTTTAAATTATAAACTGTAATATCTCTAGGTAGAAGAGTTCTTAAAATTTTAATAAATACCTTATTACCTCTCCAAAAAAAAATAATAATCACTCCCAGTGATTCTCAGCCAACCTGACCTGTTAATGTAAGACTGCCAGCGGTGTAGGTCTGGCAGTGATGGGGACCAGCAGGACACCCCCAGAGTTCTTGCAGGCCCCAAGGCTATATGTGGCAGTGCTCAGGAGCCTCCAGTGCTAGACTCAGTTGCACTGAGGGGATGAGGTAAGCTTCTGTTTCCAAATTTGGGTGCCTGCACTGACCACAAGGTTATCTCCTCAGCCCTGAAGCACAGATTCTTTTCAATTTGAATTTTAAATCTATATTTATTTATTTGTCACTTGAGCTTTTGGTATTATGTCTCAGAAACCATTGTGAACCTGGGGTCACAAAGATTTACTCATGTTTTCTTCTAAGACTTTCATGATTAGGCCTCCTGTATTTAAGTCAGTGATGCATTTTATAGTTTGCTGCAGGTTGACTTTAGGTTGACCTTGCGACCACTCACTACTTTCGGACTAGCCAAGGGCTGGAGCGATAGTACAGCGGGTAGGCATCTGCCTTGCACGCAGCCAACATGGCCGACCTGAGTTCAATTCCTCCACCCCTCTTGGAGAGCCCGGCAAGCTACCGAGAGTATCTCGCCCGCACGGCAGAGCCTGGCAAGCTGCCTGTGACGTATTCGATATGCCAGACACAGTAACAACAAAGTCTCATAATGGGGACGTTACTGGGCCCCCTCGAGCAAATCGATGAACAACGGGAGGACAGTGGCAGGACAGTGACAGTGATACATTTTAAGTTACATTTTATGTTGGGTCTGAGGTAGGTACTCACCTTTATTTTCCTGCAGGAGGCTATGCATTTTTCCCTACCCACTGTTGATTGCAAAAGAAAACCAAACCTGCCCTCTTCCCGTTTTGAATATTATTAATACCTTTGTTCAAAAACAAATAAAAATAAAGGTTTATTTCTGGATTTCAATTTTGTTTCATTGGTTTATATCAAAGGTTGCTAAAGTTATTTGACCTCCAGCCCCCTTTTCAGAAATTGAAAACTGCTCTTGCTCCCTTGGAAATCTACTTTCTTCAGGGGAACAAACAGAAAGTGTGTCTTTCTAACCCCCTAATTACACCAGAGGCCTCTGCACCTTGGGCCTTTCAAGAACCCCTAGCGGGTGGGGGATAGTATTAACCACTTTGGGAAAGATTGGGCTGTGTGTTTATTCTTAGGCCAGAACTAGATTATCATTATAATTATAATTTTTAAGATATCTTCTCTTCTTAGCTCTGAATGAGTTTTGTTTTTTTTAAGACCAAAAAAAAAAAGTGAAAGGGATGGGTGTGATCATTTTCCCAGACTTTGCGGAACCCCTCACCATGCCGGGTTATGGAGGAGCAGTGTCTGCCTCTATTTTTGGTGCTACTGGATTGGATAACCAACCTCCAGAGGAAGTTATCAGCATTATTACTTCCATGGGATTCCAGCGGAATCAGGCTGTTCAGGCTCTACGAGCTTCGGTAAGCGGGAGAGACGTGTACGTGTGCGCATGTGCGTGTGTGTGCGTGCGCGCGTGCGCACCTTTCTCTTCCTGAAGGTGCCTTGCATTTTTGTCAGCTGCAAATGAGACTTTCCCTCTGCTCCAAATCATGTATGCTATTATAGCCCACCATGGCCTGTAGGTATTTATTTGCATATAGTAGATAGAGAGGAGGGAATCCTGTAGAGAATTTAACAATAGGGAGTTAAAAAAATGTCGAAACCTCTAGAACCAACTGTGCTGTAACCATGGGACCCATACTACAGTAATTAAATTAAAAAATGTATCAGTCAAGTATTCAGGTTGTGGGGGTGGTAGGGAGGGGCTCCTAAGTAGAAGGCTGGAGTGAGGGGGTGGTGGGCATAGAGGTGGGAACATTGTATGCCTGCAATCCTCTTATCAACAATGTTAAATCATGGTGTTCGGTAAAAGTTTAAAAAATTGGGTGGCAATCCAGCGGGGGTCAGATGTTCAAAGGAAAGCAACTGCCTATCCTAAGTGTTTATCCAGAGGGGCTGAAAGTTTACTTTTTTTTTTTCATGGCATGCCCTGAGTGTCTCAGGCCCTTTCTTGGAGGCGCTCTGTGCTGGGCTGTGTTAAGGAGTGGGAGCACAGGGTCCCCCCATCCAGCAGGGGTACCCTGCTCTCTGAGCACCGGGCCTCGGTCCTGGGGTCGGGGCCACAGGTCACGCGCAGCCTGCCTGGTTCTCACGCTCAGCCCTGTACCCCCCATATGGTCCACCCCATCTTCGCATACACGCCGGCCTGTCCTTGGGAGTCGGGGAGACGCCAGCCGGCGGGCACAGGCTCTGGGGTCCCTTGTCCCCATGGTATCTCGGTGGTGGTAGGTTTCCCGTGATGTCCCAGGGTGTCACCAGGTCCAGCTATGCAGCCTTACCCGGATGGCCAGCAGGGGCAGGCCTTGTAGGTGGAACTCCTGAGTGCATCCTTTGCTCCCCAGCAGCTGCTGGGTGGCCGCTGACCTTCAGTTGTGGGGATTCTTTGCACTCTGAGGCAGTTCTTTCTGAGAAGGTATGTTTTCTAATTTAAAGGCCACGGGGGAAATGTCTCAAAAGCACTATTAAAAATAGAGTGAAAGGGGTTCTTGGAAACACCCCCTGCTTTATCTCTCTACAGAGAGAAGGTTCTTCAGGATTCATGACAGTCCTGGTAACATTAGGAGAGAAGTGAAACTTACGGGTTAGATAGAAGAAGTTTCTCTTGCAGTGAGGACATCTGTCGAATAAGAAGGGAAAGTGTTGTTTTATTTATTTATTTTTTTAAATTTAAGCTTAATCACTGTAGTTTAGGTCACTTATTTGCAACTTTTAGTACTTGTGGTTTTGTTGTTCCCAAGTACCGTTTTTAAATTTTTTTTGTTTTTCTTTTTTGGGTCACACCCAGTGATGCACAGGGGTTACTCCTGGTTCATGCACTCAGGAATTACTCCTGGCCATGCTTGGGGGACCATATGGGATGCTGGGAATTGACCCCGGGTCGGGCCGTGTGCAAGGCAAACGCCCTATTCGCTGTGCTATCACTCCAGCCCCAATCCATTTTTAAATTTTGAGACCACACCTGGCTATGCTCAGGGCTTACTCCAGGCTCTGTGTTCAGGTGAGATTTGGGGGTGCTTATATAGTGCCCGGGATTGAACTTGGATTTGCCCTATGCAAGGCAAAGATCCTACCTACTCTTTTAACCCTCTTCTGCCTTGCCACTCCCCAACTCACTTTGTCTGGGTCTCTGTTACCTATTCTATCTGGCCTGTCTCACTGCCTGTGAGAGTCCTTTGCTGAGGTCATAGTGCCTCATGTAAACGTGGCTGGGACCATCTGTTTCCCTTTAAGACACTTAGGGTCTGTTTCAACCACTATCTGTTTCACTTCAGGGTATTTATTTAGGCCTCACTTACTTTATTTGCCTGACAGTTTTATTGGCGATTCTGTCTATAAACAAATTCTTTAACCTGACAATGATATCATAAACAGAGGAAATGTTTTTATGGTCAATTGGTTTGAACTGCATGAAGTTCAGCCTAAGACAATTTAACTTAACTAGCCATGTTGTCATTGTTAATATCAAGCATTCATCTTGTCTGCTGTAGTCTAACCATCCTGCATCCTTCTTCCGGGGAAGAGATTGCTCTAACTTGGTACTCGCTTGGCCAACTGCTACCTGTGTGATCATCTGTAGAAAATACAACTGGTAGAGCATAGAGTGTGGGCAGGTAATGTGGCTAGATAAAGGACTGCACTTTAACAGATGCCACTGTCTTTGGCATTCTGCAACCCATTATTATCAGCTCAGTGTGCAGAAATGCTAGCTCAGACTGATAGGGGCTTTTTGAATGCTGATCTGCTACTCACAAGTATTTTCTTTCTTTTTGAAAACTGAATCACCATGAGATACTCAGTTACAAAGTTGTTTATGATTGGTTTTTAGAAATACAATGTTCCAACATCTATTCCTTCACCAGTGTGCATTTCCCACCACCAATGTCCCCAGTTTCCCTCCCATTACCATTCCAGCCTGCCTCTATTGAGCAGGTACCTCTCCCTCCCTCCTTCCCTCCCTCCCTCCCTCCCTCCCTCCCCCCCCCTCTCTCCCCCCCATTTTTTGGGGATTATGGTTTGCAATATATGTACTGAAAGTTATTATGTATATCATTTTACCTCCTTTCAGCACTCAGTTCTTGTCCAGAGCGATCATTTCTAACTATCACTGTCATGGTGATCCCTTCTCTGTCCTAACTGCACACACATTTGGCAAGCTTCCAACCATGGCCCAGTCCTGCTGGCCCTCATTTCTGTTGTCTTTGAGTATTAGTCTCATAGTAAGTTTTTCTTTCTTTCTTTTTTTCTTTAACATCCCACAAATGAGTGCAGTTGTTTTACATCTGTCTCTCTCCCTCTGACTCACTTCATTTAACTTTTTTCTAGTGGACCTAATGACAGACTTTGGTTGGGAGACTTGCAGAATGCCCGCTGAAGTTGCACTTCAAACGTGAAGAGCTTCTTGCTCAGAGGTGCTTCATTAATTCAGGACTCCTTCCCCATGAGCTTGGCGTCCTGGTTCACATGCTCAGCATCTACTGAGGATGGGGCGCTGTGTATATTGTAAACTGTCTTGTTTTATTAGAGTAATAACCTGGAAAGAGCGCTGGACTGGATCTTCAGTCATCCCGAGTTGGAGGAGGACAGCGACTTTGTGATGGAGATGGAGAATAATGCCAATGCGAATATCATCTCTGAGGCCAAGCCTGAAGGACCTAGAGTCAAGGATGGATCTGGAAGTATGCTCTTGCCTTAGGGATCTACTCAGCATCTATTTATTTTTAATGTTCAATTTTTTTTGGGGGGGGCGGGGGTTACTACACCCCAGGTCTGTGCTGAGGGTTGCTTCCAGAAGTGCTCAGACCACTACACAGTGCTGGGATCGAAACTGGGCCTCCACACACTACACATATGCTCAGTCCTTGGAGCCAGTCTCTGACGTAACACTGCGTACTCAAACCTTTGCCATCTTTCAAAAGTTGGTGAAGATTCTGTCTTGTAAAGTGTGCATTTTTCTGCTGTGTTTAGATCACAGTAAATCAATAGTGTATTGGCTAAACTCTGAATTGTGTGACCCAGTTGTGTGCGCGCTGAAGTTTAGTACCAACTTTGGCTTTCCTTATCCTTAGAGGTTAACTGTTTTTATGAAACATGGGTATTAAACATTTTTTTAATCCAAAGAGCTCTGATTTACAAAGTTACTGATAATTGGCTCTTAGGCATAATATATATATGTAATACACACACACACACACACACACACACACACACACACACATATATATATATATATATATTTTTTTTTTGCTTTTTGGGTCACACCTGGCGATGCACAGGGGTTACTCCTGGTTCTGCACTCAGGAGTTACTCTTGGTGGTGCTCAGGGGACCATATGGGATGCTGGGAATCGAACCCGGGTTGACTGTGTGCAAGGCAAACACCCTACCCTCTGTGCTATCTTTCTAGCCCCAGGCATATAATATTTCAAAACCAAACCCACTGCCAGTGTCAACTTCCCTCCCTTAGTAATTCTGTGCTAACCTCCTGGCTCACCCTCTTCCCTAACCCCCAGCACCTTGATTTCAAAGTTTGGTGGTTGTAGTTTAGTTCTCATGTTTTCAGTGTTGTTGAGTCTGTGCTTTGGATAAATAGTTGTAGCTCTGTCCCACATCATTAAGACCAGGAAATCCCCAGCTACTGACTCTGAACCCAGATAACATGGAAATTCTTATTAATAAGAGAGCATGCTTCTTTTGTTTTCTTTTAAAAATTATAGTGTAGGGGGCTGGAGTGATAGCACAGTGGGTAGGGTGTTTGCCTTGCACGCAGCCAACTCAGATTCAATTCCCAGCATCCCCTAGGGTCCCCTGAGCACTGCCAGGAGTAATTCCTGAGTGCAGAGCCAGAAGTAACTCATGTGCATTGCTGGGTGTGACCCTAAAAGAAAAAAATTATGGTATAAATAAGGTGGTTGCAATATGTTAAGATGTATGGGATTGATGGACAAAGTTACAACAAACTGCTCGACCCCTGCCACCAAAGTGTCCAAACTCTACCTCTATCCCTGCATCACCTCTAGTCTTCTTACTCTTTTCCCTCTATCTCTCCCCAACTGCACAGCAATCTGAGTTTTTCAATCCAAGGCTAAGGGTTTGTCATTGTTCTTTTTACTGTTATGTGAGAGCACTTGTTTTTATGATGATGTTTATCAAAGAGTTTAAAGGCAGTTTTATACCCTTGACCCTGTCATTTATCAATACCAACTGCTGATAATATTTTTGAGGGGCCATCAGAATGACAGAAAGAGATGCCATAGACTAACACTCTTCCTCTTAGCACTGTAGCACTGTAGCACTGTCCTCCCGTTGTTTATCTATTTGCTCGAGTGGGCCCAATAATATCTCCATTGTGAGGCTTGCTGTTACTGTGTTTGGCATATTGAATATGTCATGGGGAACTTGCCGGACTTTACCGTGTGGGCGGGATACTCTCGGTAGCTTGCCGGGCTCCCAGAGAGGGACGGAGGAATCAAACCCAGGTCAGCCTTGTGCAAAGCAAACACTGAACCCGCTGTGCTATCGCTGTAGCCCCCTATTTGCACTAAATACTTAAAAATGTCTCTTCAAGTGTCAGGTTCTGCTCTCAGACATGTGCACTTATGGTAATTTCTCCTTACCCATGTCCATGGTTTTACTTTCCTCGTTTTAGTTACCCCTCAGTTCAAAAATATTATGTAGATTGAGATAACTGTAGAGAATGAGACTATATTTACAAAACTTTCATTTCATATATTGGCATAATTGTTCTGTTTAACTTAGATATTGTGTATATCTCATAATTTGTAAATTGTACATTTGTAAATTCAACTTCATCCTAGATATATATATATATATATATATATATATAAATATATATGAATATATGTCTGTAGGATTTGGTTACTATTCACATTTCAGTCTTCCACTAGAGGTTGTTGGCCATATTCCCCAAAGATGAGGTTGTTACTGTAAACATTCACTTATCACCACTTCCATTTTCCAGGTGACAAAACAGAGACATAGAAAGCTTATATTCCTTGTTCATGGTCACAGAGCTCTTGAGAAGTAGAGTCAGGCCCGAAGATCAGAATCTGTCTTCTTCCCCAGGGTAATTCACCATTTCTTTGACACCATTGCTTGCAAAATGAAGTTTAGGTTCTTTTTCTTGGCATTTAGCGGTCAGCTTTGTTGTCATTTTTCCTGTTACCATCTCCAATCCTCCTGTGTTCTGACACCTGGTAGTTCTGCTCTGGCAGCCACGTCCCACCAAATCAGCCTTCGCTGATCCCCTTACAGGCCGTTGCTGAGGTTAATCTTCCTTGTGAACTGTCCGTCTTCTTCACCACACACACTGCCATCCTGCTGTTATTCAACGTTGGCAAGATTCCATTTCTTTGAACTACCTTCCCAGGCCCTTGTCATAAGTGGTTGGCTATCCTTCTTTCCTCTCTAGTAATTGATCTGTTGATATTAACATCCCTTCTAAATCCATCGTCAAAATAACCCTCTGAGGTAGATGCTGTTATTATTCCCACTTTACAGGAAAAAACTGAGGCAGAGTTTGTTCTGTCATCTGCCAAGGTCACATAGCTCGTAATTGGTAGAACTAGAATTCCAACTCAGTTTTCTTACAGATCCTGTGCCTGCTGTTGTAACATAGTGTTGGTTCTGTTTTTAATCTTGTCAGATTGATCTTGGAAGAACATGTTATATAATGATCTATGTCTTCCCTTTGGGAGCTTATGGAGGGCAGAGTCTGTCTGACTTTTCTTAAGTTCACGGTGATGGGCGCACACAAAATACCAAGTGAATGCTAACTGGATTTAAATATATTTAAATAAATTTACAACAAAGTTTATTCCTATCACCATGTAACAGTACTTATGTGTTGCTATTATTGTTCTTACCAGCCCTTACATGCATATGTTGATCTAATCTAGAGAGTGTGAGGGTGGCAGGAAAATCTCTTCAATCGAAAATAAAAATTTCTTCACAGAAACTGTTTTAATGCCCTCTGGGTGGGAAAAGGATGTGATGTCGTTCTCCTGTCTTTCATATTCATCAAAGGGGGTTTTGTATTACTTTTCAGAAATCTCTGGCATGCCTAAAGTAGTAAAAGCTCTAATGGACAAGACACTCAATAAATCATAAACAGGATTTATTATGTATTTTATGGCCTTTGGTTCCTTGGTTGTCTGTAATGGACTTTTCTTTCTTGCAAAAGGAATAAACCACAAGATGGGGCCATAGTGCGTAGTTTAGCTGCAACGATTTTTGGCTGTAGAGCAAGCAAGGGAGAGTGAGCTCATTATGGGTTTCTGTCTTCTCGTGGAGCTTGGAGGCACCACGCGGTTTTCTTGAAGATGATCAGTAATGATCAAAATGAACGCATCATGTCTTTAGTGTCTTTGTGTTTCCTGTCCTGAGTAATCTGCAGATATTCCTGACACAACTGCAGGTTTGAGACCATGTGTTTGATCCTGCCATACCACCAACACACCACACACACACACACACACACACACACACACACACACACACACACAGACACACATTCAGTTGAACATGCTTGAGCCTTCCTTTGATTTCTTTGCAGTAACTTTCTAGACTGAAGTGTTTGAATCAGAATTGCGTGTTTTTGAGGGTCTCCCGGTGACCCCCCCAGAAATACATCACTCCTTTGTTTTGCACCAGGGACTCTCCTCTTCCCCTCCCCCTGCCCCCCAATTGTTCTGTCAGGTTGTGCATCTTCATATTTTTCTTATCTTCATTGCCTGCTTGTTTTTCTTCCTGTGTTAATGCCTCCTTTACTTTCTTTGACCCATTTTCCCATTTTATTGAGGTTTTCATTTTTTATATTGTATCTTACTTTGGGAATACCTAGAAGCTTTACAATATTGACTTTTGGGTGTTAGAAACATTTTCTCTTTGCTTCACTCTCCTCACTGCAAAACTGTACAGTTTTCTTTTTATATTTCCCATGTGTTTCTGGTTAATTTCTTTCATGATTACATTTTCTGTAACTTATGAATAGAACTTTTACTCATATTATATTTTTAAAATTGTCCCTGCTGATTTTGGAAAGTTCCTGTCTTTATAACTGGCTGTTCTGCAAAGATTTGATTACAGTTGTATCCAATTCAGAGGTCATCTTGGGGAGATGTATGTTCTTTTTTTTTTTCCCTTTATTTTATTTTATTTTTTTTACAGTTGTAGATTTACAATTTTTTGTGCTTTGGTTTCAATTATACAATGATCAGATACCCATCCCTCCACCAGTGCCCATTTTCCACCACCATGGATAATATCCCTCCCACCCCCATCCCCCCATTCCCCCTGTCTCTGTGGCAGGGCAATCCCCTGTGTTCTCTCTCTCCTTTTGGGTGTTGTGGTCTGCAAAAGAGGCATTGAGTGGCAAACATGTTCAGTCCATAGTCTACTTTCGACATGCAGGGAGATGTATGTTCTTTGACGCTGTCAGTACATAGGTTGTTTATATTCCCACAGCATTGCTTTTTTACCTTTCCATTCTTAATTGCTCAGGAATTGGTTCAGACATTTAAATTGGGGTATTTAACTACAGTTTTTTCTCTTTTGTTGACTTTTGAAAAACAGCCCATCTGCTGTGCTTACAGCTTACTCCTGGCTCTGTGCTCAGGGATCACTCCTGTCTGGATTTAGGGGACTGTATGGGGTTCTGA